ATGGAACGTTCGAGGTTATTATGCTAATTTCCTCGAACTCCAACTTCTGATTTTGCGGTTTTCTCCCCTTTGTGTCTGTCTCCAGGAGCCGATGCTTGGTGCTCGTCCTGGTCGTTTTCGTGGCTATTCCTTTCTCTCCCTCCCCCCCTGCCATTGCTGGGGCTTCTAATTCTTCTGCTCTCTTGATTCGCACTGATGTTCCCTTTGTTCCTTTACTTTTTCCTTTGCCTCTCCATTGTTCTGCTGCTCGTATCTTTGTGGGGAAATGGTACACAGTTTGTTCCATTTATCTCCCCCCCGAGTGTCCCGCTTTCTCTTCCTGATCTGAAACACCTCTTGGACTCGTTGCCGGAGCCTGTGCTCCTGCTGGGTGACTTCAATTGTCGTCATTCTCTTTGGGGTGATGTTCTGACAAATACCCAGGGTCGCCTTCTTGAGCCGTTTATCCTCTCTTATTCCCTGTCTCTTCTGAATTCTGGTGAGCCCACTCATTTGGACTCTCGGACTCGCACCCTTTCCTGTCTTGATCTTTCTCTCTGCTCTTCTTCTCTTTACTTAGATTTCATGTGGCAGGTTCTTGATGACTTCCATGGCAGTGATCATTTCCCTATCCTTGTTTCCTTTTTCTCATTTCGCCCTTCCCTCTCCTTCCCTAGGTGGCAGTTTGCTAAGGCGGACTGGAACCTATTTACCCTCAGTGCTGCTCTCTCTGACCTCTCCTTTCTGCCTCTCCCTCGTGCTCTCCTTTTTCATGACACTGTCTTCGACGCTGCTCTCCGCTCTATTCCTCGCTCTTCCTCTCGGGGTCCGCGGAAGTGCGTTCCCTGGTGGAATGCGGATTGTGCTTAGGCTGTCCGCTGTAAGCGTGCAGCCTGGAAGAGGCACCGCCGTCGGCAGACGGCCGATTCTTTTCTTTTCTTTCGGAAAGCGAGTGCGGTGGCCCGTAGGGCCATCCGTACGGCTAAACGTGAATGTTGGGCATCTTATGTCTCGACAATTACATCCGAAACTCCTCTGCCCCAGATCTGGAAGCGTATCCGCAAGATAGCGGGTAAGTTCGTTCCCGATGTTTCACCGGTCCTTCACCTCCATGATACTCTTGTGGCGGACCCGTTGCAGGTCGCTTCCGAACTGGGTTCCCACTTTTCTTCTGTTAGCTCTGGTCTTCATCTTCCCCAATCTTTCCTTCTTCGTAAACCTGTCCTTGAGTCTCTTCCTTTAGATTTCTGCACTCGTCTTCAGCTTCCCTATAATGATCCCTTCTCTCTCTCTCTGAACTTCGTTCTGCCCTGGCCCTCTGCGGTTCTACAGCAGCGGGCTCCGATGGTATTCATTATGAGATGCTTCGCCATCTCCCTCCGTGCACGTCTCAGTATTTACTGAGTCTGTATAATCGGATCTGGGAGTCGTCGTCAGTCCCTACCTTGAGGCTACCTTGAGGTGCTTCCGGGGCTTAGTGTCCCCGCGGCCCGATCGTCGACCAGGCCTCCTGGTTGCTGGACTGATCGACCAGGCTGTTAGACGCGGCTGCTCGCAGCCTGACGTATGAGTCACAGCCTGGTTGATCAGGTATCCTTTGGAGGTGCTTATCCAGTTCTCTCTTGAACACTGTGAGGGGTTTGCCAGTTATGCCCCTTATGTGCAGTGGAAGCGTGTTGAACAGTCTCGGGCCTCTGATGTTGATAGAGTTCTCTCTCAGAGTACCTGTTGCACCTCTGCTTTTCAACGGGGGTATTCTGCACATCCTGCCATGTCTTCTGGTCTCATGTGGTGTTATTTCTGTGTGCAGGTTTGGGACCAGCCCCTCAATTATTTTCCACGTGTAAATTATTATGTATCTCTCCCGCCTGCGCTCAAGGGAGTACAGATTTAGGCTCTTTAGTCGGTCCCAGTAATTTAGATGTTTTACTGAGTGGATTCTAGCAGTAAAGGATCTCTGCACGCTCTCTAGGTCAGCAATTTCTCCGTAGCTTTGAAAGGGGCTGTCATTGTGCAGCAGTACTCCACTCTAGAGAGCACAAGCGTTTTGAAAAGTATCATCATCGGTATAGCATCTCTAGTGTGAAAAGTTCTTGTTATCCCACCTGTCATTTTTCTTGCAGTTGTGACGGCTACTTTATTGTGTTCTTTAAAGGTAAGGTCTTCCGACATGAGTACACCCAGATCCTTTACATTGCCTTTTCGTTCTATGTTATGATTTGCCTGAGTTTTGTACGTGGTTTCTGTTTTTATATTTTCGTCAGTCCGTTTTATATTTTCGAGCCAGTCCTCAGTCCCTGAGGACTGGCTCGATGCCGTTGTCCTCCCTGTTCGCAAACTGGGGTCTCTGGGTACTTCCCCTAAGGACTTTCGCCCTATTGCCCTCACAAGTTGTGTCTGCAAACTCTTTGAACGTATGGTTAACGTTCGTCTGATGTGGTTCTTCTCAGTTTGATTTCCGCAAGTGCCGCAGGATGACAGATGTCCTGGTGAACTTGAAGGTCTATATTCATACTGCTTTTGCTGCGAATACCTCCGTTGTTGCCGTCCTTTTTGACCTGGAAAAGGCTTACGACACCACTTGGTGATATCATATTCTATCTCAACTTCATTCTTTTGGCCTTCGTGGTCATCTCCCTCTCTTTCTCTGCAGCTTCCTCTCTCGTCGTTCCTTTCGGGTGCGCCTTGGTACCGCTCTCTCTGCCTCTTTTCAGCAATACGAAGGTGTGCCCCAGGGTAGTGTTCTGAGCACTACTCTTTTTCTGGTTGCCCTCAATGGTCTTCTTTCCTCTCTTCCTTCTGGCGTCTTCTCCGCTCTCTATGTCGATGATCTTACCCTTTGCCGTCAGGGTGATGAGTCACCTGCAGCGTCGGCCTCAACTTGCAATTGATGCCGTGTCGTCTTGGGCCACAGATCATGACTTCAAGTTCTCTACTTCTAAGACTTGTGCCATGACTTTTACTCGGAAACGGGTCGTTCTTCGTCCCTCTTTGTCACTTTATGGTCATCCCCTTGAGTACAAAGATTCTGCGAAGCTTTTGGGGTTATTCCTTGACACTCGTTTGTCTGAGTCTCACCATATCTCTTACCTCCATGTTGAGTGCTCTAAGGCCCTTACCCTCCTTCGGGTCTTGTCCCATACTTCTTGAGGGGCAGATAGGCGCACTCTCTTTGCTTTACATTCCTCTCTCGTCCTGTCTAAGCTCTATTATGGTTGCCCTGCTTACTCATCTGCTTCTCCTACTCTTCGCCGTGTTGATGCTTTGCACCATACTGGGTTGCGCCTCAGTTCTGGTGCCTTTCGTTCGACTCCCGTCCTTAGCTTGTATGTTGACACTAGCTTCCTGTCTCTCCAGGACCGCCGTGATCGCTACTGTCTTCACTATCTTGCGCGGTCCTTACAACATCCTTCCTCTCGCCTCTGTCGTGCTTTAACTTTTACCCCTCCTGCGGTTCCTGTTCCTCTTCACCACCTCCCTCTTTCTGTCCGGTTATCTCGCCTACAGGATTCTCTTTCCGTTCGTATTTCTAATGTTTCTCCTCGTGCTGTTCCTTTTTTGCCCCCGTGGAGAGTCCCTCTTCCGCGGTTTTGTACATCCTTGACCCGTATCACTAAAGTTTTTACCCCTGCTACGGTTCTAAAACGCCTTTTCCGTGAGCACTTTTCTTTTCACTCCCTCTCCGTTTCTGTCTTCACCGATGGGTCTAAGTCTGTGGACGGTGTTGTCTACTCTGTTGTTTTTCCTGATCGCACTTATATATGTCGCTTACCTCCGGAGACTAGCATCTTTACAGCGGAGCTTTATGCTATTCTCTATGCTCTTCGTCTCCTGCTTTCTCGTTGTCAGTCTTCCTTTGTAGTTGTTGTTGACTCTCGTAGTGCCCTCATGGCTCTCGGGTCCTTTAATCCAGTTCATCCAGTAGTTGTCGAGATCCAGCATTGGCTGTTTCTTGTTCACAGTAAATTTAAGTTGGTTGAGTTTTGTTGGGTTCCCAGCCATATTGGTGTGTCTTTAAATGAGCGTGCGGATGCTGCCGCCAAAGAAGCTGTCTGCTCTTGTCCCATCTCGTAAAGGTATTCCATATTCAGACTTTTATCCGGTTATCCATTCCTCCGTTATTACCCGTTGGCAGGCTTCTTGGTCGTCTGTTACTGGTAACAAACTACGTACTCTTAAATGTTGTGTTTCCTCGTGGCCATCATCCTACCACCGTAACCGACGATGGGAAACAGCTCTGGCGAGGTTGTGTATTGGCCATACTCGCTTAACCCATGGTCACTTGATGAAGCGCCGCCCTGCTCCTTATTGTCCTAGTTGCATTGTCCCTCTTACGGTCGTGCATGTCATTCTTGAATGTCCTGACTTCCAGGACGAGCGTGTGTCCTGCTTTCCGACCGCCCCTCGCGGTCACCTGTCCCTCAATAGAATTCTTGGTGACTCGGATACTTTTGATATTGTTCGCCTTATGCGTTTTTGTTCTCGTATTGGCATCCTTGGTGATATTTAGCGCCCTCTGATTATTCTGCACACTTGATGGTGCTACATAGCCTTCCCGGTTTGGTGCCTTCTTTTGATAATTACTTACTTACTTCAGCCTTCAAACTGACAGTCCAGCTGCAGGCTCGGTAGGCTGGGACTCCCTCTTCCCCTCCGGGGATGGGGGGGAAGGGTCATCGTGAACGAGCGGCGCTCGGTGTAATGACAGGCCATTGCTCCCTGCGCCTCTGAGGGGACCATGTTCTGGCTAGTGGTCCCAAGTAGGCATGACAACTCCATGTGACCAAAGCCTCGCACTAATATTAGCTAATATCAGCTAATATCAGTCAAATAACTCCAGGGAGCCTCCGGGGCTCTACCCAGAAAATTACATTTCATTACATTCAACGATGGTTTTTATTCATACGCCTGAAATAATTATGAGATAATGCATGAGATAATATTTTTATCTCATGCATATAAAATGAGATAATATTTGCATGAGATAATATTTTTTTCATCTCTTTGCATGTGCTGTTAAGATTCTCTGTGATGAAAGAGAAGAGACAGTGAGCCAGTTAGAAAATGACATTGATGGTTTGGTAATTGAACGTGAATTAGAACCAATGGTGTTGACATTCTTTCCTACTGAGGAGCATGAAATAAAGATTTTATGGAAGATTGTCTGGGACTCAAGAAATAACAGATTGAAGTATAACATTTTTGTTAGCTGTGAAGATGATGGTAAGTCCTTTAATGTAATTAACATCTGTGTTTTTTTGGCTTAATTAACTTTGGCTGTTTACATCTTGGAATTATCTTACTTTAGTTCAGGTTTATTAATTAATTTGTTTAAGAGAAACTAGTAACTTCGAGCAGTGCTTGAGATGCTTCCAACTAATCTTGAATGAGTAGTTTGCTGTAGTTAATTTAACGTGTGTTATTTGTGAATTCCTCTTATTTTGTTTGTTGTTGTTGAATATAGAATATTGCAATGTAATTGTGAATCAATACCAAAATGTGTAAAATTTAGTATCAAAATCTCATAAGCTGCATGTTCAACATATATGGTTTGAAAAGTCTGAAATTTTAGGTATCAGCCTGAGGCAATTGCTTGAATGTCTCGGTTGCATTTATTGCACTTTACAGAGAAACAGACATTAGAAAAACAGTTAAGAAAGAATTAGTTACCAGCAGTATAGAAGCAAGTTCATAATCATTTTTGGGTGTCTGGAAAAGGAAATACCATTTAAGATAGACTAGCATGAGTGGAAAAAAAAATGAGAAAATAGTAGGTTTAGGAAAATAGTTCAGTGATAGGCAAATATGTAAGACAAGATTTGCCCCTTAACTCTTCCACTACACGAGTCATACAGAAATGCTTTCGGCATATCTGATTACATTGCACGAGTCCTATAGGGATGATTTAGAGTACTGCGTAGGATTTAAAAATCCCTCAGGTATACAGGCTCACGTTGACTTTCTCAGGCCTCTAGTAAACACACCATTTTAAGACAAAATCGTGGACACCAAGATTGGCATGCATGCAGCATAAGCTAATAGCATCACTATTCACCTTGTGTCCACAGCATCACTTAAAGATGTTGAAATATATAAGTACAGTAACTGCTATTATTTTACAATGATAGTATCATTGAAGATCCTGACTGATAAAGACGATGTACAATGTTCAGATATCGGTGAACACGATGCGTTTGACCATTCATGGGCTCTTGAGGCTTTCTGCGGAGGGGGGGGGGGTCCTTTGTTACAGAGCGTCGGGCACTCCTTCTCCACTTTCCTATATGAGTTTGACTTGGGTGTGGCTCTTCCCATGGCTCGTTTCTGAGTGCCTTTGGGTGGTTCTATTTTGTTCTTCCTGAGGTTTTCAACTTCTTTAGTCCATCCCCCCCCCCCCCCCCTCCCCTCCTCCCCTCCTCCCCCCCCCCCCCCCCTCCCCCCCCCCCCCCCTCCCCCCCTCCCCTCCTCCCCCCTCCCCTCCTTCCCCCCTCCCCTCCTTCCCCCCTCCCCTCCTTCCCCCCTCCCCCCCCTCCCCCCCCGGCAGTAGCTTGGGAGATCCTTTATGTGTATCTCCTGTGCAACCTGAATTTTGCCTTAGTGATGGACCCAGCCTCTTTTGAGATCAGTTCTTCTTCCCATTTTTGGGTGCATTACAAGGTTCCAGAGTCATCTTGGCTGGTAGACTGTCTGTTGTTTACCCTTTAGGCATGATGCGGTTTCTGTCGTTTCTGCATGCTTGAGTGGCAGGAGGTGTCTCCTGTGTTGCAAGTGTTCTGGGAGGTTCTCTTTGAGTTTCTTAATACAGTACATGTCTCTTTACTCCTGTTCTCTCATGTAATGTAGGTTTCATGCAACTGCATGCTCGAGTCCCTCAGTTGTCGGCTACATTAGTTGCAGATGACTATTCTGCCCGCACACACTTGGGTTTTGTTGTGTGCTTCTTGAGCCTCCAGGAATTCATTCTGCTTGGCTTATGGAGGACATTAGGGAACTCAGCACTGTTTCTCTTGAGGGGGGGATTTGATCTTTGCTGCTTCTGCATTGGCAGCCCTCCTCAAGCTGTATGTTCCAAACTTCTGGGAAGCACTAGTTACATTTTTTGCCTCCCATTTCGTGTGTCGGTAAGCTGTGCTGGCCCAGACCTTGGACTCGACATGGGCCCCTGACTCTCATCTCTGCTTCCCACTTTTCCTCGCTCCTATTTCCAGAGGACATTGCTTCCCAGTTCCTGTCAACTGTGGCCACTGTCTGTTGGGCCCTATTTCTGACTTATTGGGTGCTCGTGGGGGTTGTTCTTGTCACCCAATGGTGGTTTGGGCATCGCTTGCTGTTGATCAGGGTAGGTCATCCTTGGAGTTAGATGCTGTGGTGAATGTGCTTCACGCAGCCAATTCTTCTTTGTCTGGTTGGAGCCATGCTCACTCCATTAGGAAGGCTGGCTCACAGGGTTCACACCAGCTCGGTTTGGCAATGCTTGGTCCCACAATCCATGGTCTTTTTGGGTCGTCTCTTTTGGCCTGCAGTGGCATTGGCTTTTTCCACCTATATCTGGGGGCTTGTGGTTTTTGGGGCAGGCCTCCTCCCCTCATCTTTGTCAGGTCATCTCGGAGTGGGTGACTTCAGGTAAGGTTGAAATGACTGCATCTCTTTGGTGGGTTTCTCATCCGTTTCCGGTTCCAAAATGGGACACTCTGGATCTCTGGTTCATCTTTGATCTCTCCTGGATGAATCAGTTTATTCCTTACCCACCCCACCCTTTCAAATGACCACATTGTCCCAGGTTCATTTCGTTCTCAAGCTGGTTACTTGGATGATCTCCCTGGACCTCTGGGATGCTTGCTGGCACATCCCTATCCATCTGAAGTTCAGGGATTATATAGGCTTTGTCGTACTGTAGCAGGCTTTCCGCTTTCGGATTTCCCATTCAAGTTCAGTCTGGCTCCTCGCATTTTTACAAGTTTGGCTCAGATCATGGTGACCCGTCTTCATTTACTGCGTGTTCGCGTTTTGGCCTACCTCGATGACTGGGTGGTGTGGGCTCCCAGCCAGTTCACATGTCTGCTAGCCAGGGATCTGGTTCTTTCTGAGCTCACTGGTTGGGTTCCAAGAGAACTGGTGGACTTATTTGGTTCAGTCGCAGGTTTGTGCTTACGACCGAAGATTCGTACACAGAGGACAACAAACAAATTAGTGAAATTCTAAAAAGTTCAGTATGCAGGTATGTGTATCACCCCCAATAAACATCATGAAAAGTTGAGGATCCAGACAGTTTCTTTATGAATGATATCAAGCTCCAGATAATATAACCAATATTAACATGAACACAGAAGTCCTTGAAAGAGAAATTGAGAGCATGCCCATACACTCAGCCCCTGGTCCTGACTCCTGGAATTCAATATTGATAAAGAAATATAAAGTACCAGTAGCATGAGCACTCAGTGTAATATGGAGAAGGAGCCTGGTTACAGGAGAGATACAAGCAACACTTAAATCAGCAGATATAGCCCCTTTGCACAAGGAAGGTAGTAAAGCTTTGACAAAAAAATCATAGACCAGTTGCACTAACATTACACACACAAATTTTTGAACGAGTGATTAGGAATCAAATTTCCAGTTTTATGGAAAATAATGAACTTCACAACTCGGGACAACATGGATTTAGAGCAAGAAGATCCTCTCACAGTTACTCAACCATTATGACAGAATCACAGAAGCCTTGGAGGAAAAGCAAAATGCAGATGTTTTATTTACAGATTTTGCAAAGGCATTAGACAAGTGTGACCATGGAGTGATAGCCCATAAAATGAGATCGGTAGGAATAATGGGTAAAGTGAGGCATTGGATTTTCAACTTTGTCAAACAGAATGTAGAGAGTGATGGTCAATCAAGTAAGATCAAGCCCAAGTGCAATGAAAAGCTCTATACCCCAAGGCACAGTCCTTGCACCATTGCTCTTTCTCATTAGCAGTAGAAACACTTTGATATAGACAAAAATACTAGTCACAGCTTCGTGTCATCCTTTGTAGATCATTCAAAAATCAGCATGAAAATTGCCACTGTAGAAGACACTGAAAACTACAGGCAGATATAAATAAAGTATTTGATTGGACAACTGAAAATAACATGATGTTTAACGGTGATAAGTTCCAGGTACAGTACTGAGGTATGGTGTAAATGAGGAACTTGTATAAAACATAGGGTACAGTACACAATCAGACCTACTCATAGAATTAAAGCAACATGTAAAAGACCTGGAAATTATGATGTCTGATGACCTGACATTTAGTGAACTTAACTGAGCAAATATAGTGGTGGCCAGGAAAATTATAGGATGGATTATGATAACGTTCAAATCCAGGGACCTTACAGCAATGCTAACACTAAATCACTGGTGCTGTCCCATCATGAGTATTAATCAGTACTCGCTTACCCTTTCAGAGCAGGAGAGATCTCAGAATTAGAGTACTCTGAATACAGAGAACATATACAGCACGCATAGAAATGATAAAAGATCTGAATTATTGGGACCGTCTCAAAGCTCTCAAAGTGTACTCTCTGGAAAAGAGACGAGAAAGGTATCAAATAATATATATGTGGAAGATACTGGAGGGCCAGGTTCCAAATTTGCACAGTAGAATAATAACATACTGGAGCAAAAGATACAGAAGGAAATGCAGAATAGAACCATTGAGGAGTAGAGGTGCCATTGGCACAATCAAAATATTGCTAAAAAAAGCTGAACGAGGGGACTAAACTCCCCAAACGAAAATTAGCAAACGAGCATGACGTCATCACGTTGCCGCGCCACTGTGTGCGCAACCCCGCCCCCAGGAGGGGAAAGGGGGGGGGGAGCCCCTGACCCTCTTGCCAGCGATCCAACCGTCAGTTCTTGGCTGATGTGATACTGGCATGTCGTGTGCCTCTGGCTCCTGCTATGGTTTCAAGTGGCATGGGTTGTCTCAACAGGTGATGTGTGAGCCAGGAAGAATAATCTACAGTACTCGGGCTGCATGCACCTCGGGTTTCCCTCCCTAGGTTCCCTGTAAGTACAGTGGTACCTCGGAATATGAGTGTCCCTGTATACGAGTCTTTCGGAATACGAGCAGGATTTGCTCGGAAAATTTACATCGGAAGACGAGGGTGTTGATACACGTACAGGCCGACTAGCGCGTGGTGACACAGCGATCGCGCCTCAGTTTACCAGTGCCTCGCGCCCAGTGACTATCCCGCCTGAATTTTTCATAATTATAGTTTTTTGTTGGATTTTTGGCTATTTGAGCATAAAAGTTATTATTATACATCTCGCCATGGGTCCCAAGTAATCCAGTGGTAAGGTTCAACCTAAGAAAATAGTTGTTAGTAGAGGCGGTAGAGGATGTCCCTTCTTGATTAAGAAAATGTGTGAAGTATGGGAAGAACTGCAAAGTTTTGTTGAAAAAACTCACCCAGATACAGCTGTAGCAGGCCATTGCATTGACCTTTTAAATGACAATGTGATGTCTTACTACAGACAAGTGTTAAAATGTAGGGAAAAAGAAGTGTCTTTAGACAGATTCTTAGTAAAACAAGCAAGTCCTAGTGGTATGCAGGCAAAATGTGCCAGTGTGTGCACACCAGTGAAGTCCTCACTGCCTGATGTTATAATGGAAGGGGACTCCCCTTCCAAACAGTAACACCTCTCCCCCTCCCTCTTCGTCACCATCTTCCATACGCCAACAGCAGTCATCAGCAAGGGTAAGTAATAACTTGAACATACTTTTGTAGTGTAGATTTAGATGAATTAGGTATAGAATTTAGTTTGAAGTGAGGTTTTTGAGTAGTCAGGAACGGATTAATTCATTTTCCATTATTTCCTATGGGGAAATTAGCTTCGGTTTACGAGTTTTCAGATTACGAGCTATCTCCTGGAACGGATTAAACTCTTATACCACGGTACCCCTGTACTGCCTCTGGGGCTTGGGGCCACCTTCCACAAGTCACCTTGGGATCTACCTCTGCTGTGTCTTTTACTGCTCAGTACTTGGCCATCCTTGGAGTCAGCTGGGGTTTTTGTTGCCCTTGTTTGGCTCTGGGTAGGAAGTAGCTTCTATCACTGGTAGGGGTACAGGGTACTGCACAGCTAGTTATCACCTCATATAGTGGAGACGAGAAAGGTATCATGATATGAGGGTGCAGACAGCAGCTGCGTTGCAGGCTTGGTTCAGGTTGCTACAACACAATAGGTTGGTCGCTTCCCGGGATGCCCCGAGACTGCCCCGTTTTGGTTGTAGGGACCCGGACATGGGGGTTGGAGTCGCTTCGACTTTGGTTCCGTCCGCCCTGCCATGTCCTTCCCCTTCTGTTGATCATCCGGTTCCTCCACCCCCTTGCTTCCGGCTCTGAAACGTCTGGGGGTTTCCAAGCCGCTTGTTGCTTTTCTTTTCTCTTTTTCCCGGTGTCCTTTGTTCATGAGTTTTTTATTTTAAGGCTTTGTTTTTTATTTTTCTTTGCCCTGGGTGTCATGTTGGAGCTTCATGCTCACCTATGTTGGGGGAGTTTTTCTTCTTTGGTCCTAATGGGCATTTAGTTAGTTTCCTGCTGGCTCCAACTTTTCTGGTGAAGAACGAGTTGGTTGGTTTCCAGTGGATCCTTTGGTTATTGATGCTTGGTTCAACCAGAGGTACATTAAATGTTGTGTCCAGTGGTGGCTCTGCACTGCTACCATTGGGCTACCAATTGTGCTTCGGTGGGTGCCTTGTGGGTTTTGGAATTATTTGGTGAATATTCCTAGGTTTGGGGGCTCTTATGTGGCCTTGGGTCATGTTTCTTGGCTGAGAATCTTGTCCTTGTTCTGATTCCTGTGGTGCTCCCTCCTTCCCTCCCTCCTGTGTGAGGGAGCAGGGTTAGGGCTCCGGTTCCCGGCAGACCTTTAGAACTCTATGGCTGACGCAACCCAGTACTGTAGATGGTAACCATTTCGGCATATAACTTCAGGGAGCCAACCGGGCTTGGCAAGAAATTGGCATTTTATTATATTCAATGCTGGTCTTACCCTGTTAAATATGATGTGTAACTTAGCACTAAGTTTAATGATCTAGTCAGTAACTAATATTTTAAATTAACATGGTTTTTTACTGTCCCTCTTAACAGTGGCCATAAGATATAGCAGCTCAAAGGAAGTCTACCCATTTTTGAGTGGAAAGAAACTTCTTCAAACACGGGAAGAAGTAGCAGACTTTGTCAACGCATTTTTGGATTTGTAACATTATTTGGTAAAGTTACATAAGACATATAGTACTATAGAATTTGATAAATTTAATATATAATACATTCACTCTTCATAACAAAAATATTATACTCTTATAAAGTCCAAATTCTTTAATTCTCATATGAAGTTAAATATTGATGTCAATGTGGTTTTAATGGGTCATTTAGTTTTCTAGATGTTTCTTAATTATCCTTTTATTATAAACTCATTATACGCTCATTATACATTAATTAATTTTGTTGGGAACAGGCAGCCTATGTAATTACCAAAGTGTAGTTACAGGATGAGAGCTACGCTCGTGGTGTCCTGTCTTCCCAGTACTATGTCGTATAACACTTTGAAACTACTGACGGTTTTGGCCTCCACCACTTTCTCACTTAACTTGTTCTATCTACCATTGTAAAATAAATGTTTTTAATATCTTTTTGGCACCTTTGTTTCCTTAGCTTGAGTCTGTGTCATCTTGTTGTAATTATTGTATCCAAGTGTAATTATAGGATGAGAGCTGTAATGTGCTGTCTTCCCAGTACTCTGTCATGTAACCCTTTGAAGTCACTGAAGTTTTGACCTCCACTCTTTACTCACTTAACGTGTTAAAACCATCTACCACTCTGTGTGAAAAAAAACTTTAATATTTTGTTGATATCTTTGTTTCCTTAGCTTGAATCTCTTGAACCTCTTGTTGTTGAGGATGCCCATTTCAGGAATACCTTTGTCCATTTAGTCAATTCCTGTTACTATTTTTTAAGTGGTGATCATATAACCTCTTTCTACTAGCCTTGGCACACTTAACACTTCTAACCTCTCCTCATAATTCTTGTTTTTCAATTCTGGAAGCCATTTTGTAGCATGCCTTTGCACCTTTTTCAGTTTATAGATGTGCTTTCTGAGATATGGGCACCATACAACTGCTGAATATTGCAATTTTGGTCTCATAAAAGTCATGAACATAATACTAAAGAAACTGACTTTTGTGAGACCAAAATTGGAATATGAAGTAGTTGTATGATGCCCATATTCCAAAAAGCACATCAGTAAACTGGAAAAGGTGCAAAAGCATGCTACAAAACGGCTTCCAGAATTGAAAAACAAAAGTTATGAGGAGAGGTTAGAGGCATTAAGTGTGCCAAAGCTAGAAGAAAGAAGAAAAAGAAGTGATATGATCACTTTGTCAATTTAGTTGAGTCCTGTTGTTATTTTCCGAGTTCAATTGGTTCCTGAAACCAGCAGCTTCACAAACAAGAGGACACAGATTCAAGCTAAGGAAACAAAGGTACCAAAAGAATATTACAAAGTTTTCTTTCGCAAACAGAGTGGTAGACAGTTGGAACGAGTTAAGTGAGGTGGTGGTGGAAGCCAAAACCGTCAGTACTGTAGTTCCAGAACGTTATATGACAGAGTACTGGGAAGATGGGACAGCACGAGCATAGCTCTCATTCTGTAACTACTTAGGTAATTACATTCGCACATTAGGTTTGTATCGAGGTTCTCCCAAGGTCGAACTAATGACCCTCCCCAGGATTCAACCGAACAACAATTGACTAACTTCCGAGTACCTATTTACTACTAGGTGAACACACACATTAGGTGATAGGAAAGGTGCCCAATCATTTCTGTTCCTCCTGGGATTTAAACCTGGCATTCTCGATTTTCAGTCAAGAATGAACCCAACTGTACAACCAAGACCATTCTGCCATTTGAAAGGAACAAAAAACATGCATGCACTGTATGAGATAAGTGAACCACAGTAACTTATTTTCTTGATAGTTTCATTTTCACAAGTTGGCAAGTGTGTTTTCCTGTGGAGAAGACAATATGGGTTTGTGCTCAGGCCAGGGTAGTTACACAGGAAAGTTACTTTCCAGTTATATTGAAGGTTTATTTAAACTTTAGTTATTCAAAATGTTCATAGTTTTATATTTGTTGGCCCATAAGTAACAAATCTTTGCTGTCTATAAAAATAATCTTCATATTACTGATCTGAAAAGTAATCGGGTCCAGCCTAACCACTTGGGCTGGACAGTAGAGCGACGATCTCACTTCATGCAGGTCGGCTTTCAATCTTTGACTGTCCATGTGGTTGGGCACCATTCCTTCTTCCTCCTCCTCCTCCTCCTTCCCCTTCTTCCTCCTCCTCCTCCTCCTTCCTCTTCCTCCTCCTCCTCTTCCTCCTCCTTCTCTTCCTCCTCCTTCTCTTCCTCCTCCTCTTCTTCCTCCTCCTCCTCTTCCTCCTCCTCCTCTTCCTCCTCCTCTTCCTCCTCTTCCTCCTCCTCTTCCTCCTCCTCTTCCTCCTCCTCTTCCTCCTCCTCCTCTACTTCTTCCTCCTCCTCTTCTTCTTCCTCCTCCTCTTCTTCCTCCTCCTCTTCTTCCTCCTCCTCTTCTTCCTCCTCCTCCTCCTTCTTCCTCCTCCTCTTCCTCCTCCTCCTCCTCTTCCTCTTCTTCCTCCTCCTCCTCCTCTTCTTCCTCCTCCTCTCCTCTTCTTCTCCTCCTCCTCCTCCTCTTCTTCCTCCTCCTCCTCTTCTTCCTCCTCCTCCTCTTCTTCCTCCTCCTCTTCTTCCTCCTCCTCCTCTTCTTCCTCCTCCTCCTCTTCTTCCTCCTCCTCCTCTTCTTCCTTGTTCCTCCTCCTCTTCTTCCTTGTTCCTCCTCCTCTTCTTCCTCCTCCTCCTCCTCTTCTTCCTCCTCTTCTTCTTCCTCCTCCTCTTCTTCCTTGTTCCTCCTCCTCTTCTTCTTCCTTGTTCCTCCTCCTCTTCCTCCTCCTCTTCTTCCTCCTCCTCTGCCTCCTCTTCCTCTTCCTCCTCCTCCTCTTCCTCTACCTCCTCCTCCTCTTCTTCCTCCTCCTCCTCTTCTTCCTCCTCCTCCTCTTCTTCCTCCTCCTCCTCTTCTTCCTCCTCCTCCTCCTTCCTTCTTCCTCCTCCTTCCTCCTCCTCCCTCCCCCCCCCCGTGGTCCCATCCCAAATTCCTATAAAGTCATAATGGCTTGGTGCTTTTGCCTGATAATTAAAAAAATTAATGATCTGATGCATATTTCTACTCTGCACAAGTTCAAAAAATTCATTTTTATTCCACCAAGAAATTTCATAGGAAAAAACTAATTGCACAGCACCTGAGAAAATTGTCTTTAACTGATGTACTCGCCTGTTGTACTCACGCTGGCTCTCATTTATTATATAAAAATTAAAAAACTTTGGTGAAAAAATTGTGGAAGCAACTGTATTTGAGTATCTGTTCAGTTGTGTTCATACAGAGTGCTGCACTAACTTGTTCCTTCTGTTTGAGCATTTTTATAGTTTATTTCCTTTTTGATATGATCAATGTAATATATTATGTCTTCTCTTACATGACGTGTACAGTATACAAGTACATTTTGTTATTTTGTTAAATTACAACCCTCTGGAATCTTTATGACCAAACCATAACTCAGGTAGAGAATGACGATGTTTTGGTCCGTCTTGGACCATTGTCAAGTTGTGTGAAAAACTACTATTTTTAAACGAGTTGATATTGGTCCAGGATGGACCAAAAAGTTAATTTTTGAGTTGTGGTTTTAGTCATTATTTCTTCAGCCACGTTATTGTGACTCGTCGTCTGCCTCTTGAATCTTGTTCACACACTATGCCATCTTTTGAATTTTTGTTGTTAGTTTATTGTTATCAAGTTAGCTAATGAGATTTGTTGACTTGGATCACTAACAGTAAGCTTTTGTCTGTAGTTGAAATATTACTGTAATTTTGTTTAAACTGTGGACTTCAAATGTATGTTGGCATGTCAAAATTTGTATCAAATCTACATTTCTGATGCATTAAAATGTCTTTATGTAGAATTGTGTTTCAACTTTTCCTTCAGAAGTCCACATACTTACTTGGCATGACCAAAGTACCAAATCAGGATGTGGAAGGTTGACTATGACAAGTGAAAAATGTCCATTTACCTTCACAGAGCTGTAAATACAGACTAACTCTGAGTCGCCTTAGAGTAGATTTTACGTGGAAGTGGAAAACTTGGAAGAGACAAATAAAACTCAAATAGAAGAATGAGGAGGACTTGTCGATGTGGAGTAGCAGAAGTGATGTTGCTGTAGTGTAGGTAGAGAAGCATTACGATCACAGTAAACTTTATTAACCATGATATATTACCTGTGAGTGTTTTATCAAGTCTTAACAGATACATGGAGCTAGCTACTTATGAAACAAAACGTTGTGGCAAGACCAGAATACTGAACAATTTCAATGCAGTATTGTCTTACTGCTTTTTAAATTAGACCACAAATTTATATTCTACCACATTTAATTCATCACTTGTCTGGCTTCACCCTACATTTTGTTAAAGCACACGGCTATTTACTTACAAGTGTTAGAGTTGGGACACACCTACAGGTAAAATGTCCCTCCCAATAAAGTCTATTCTTAACTCGTTTATTATCTTCAGTAAAAATTGAGTACATATTATTAAGTAAGTCGACATAAAAGCAGTATTAATTAGAGGTAATGTATTTGTTGTCCCTCACACGGTAACAGGCCAAATATCTTCATTACCCCATGTCAAACATTCACTCCTTCCATACCACTTCTTGTGTTGTGTCATCAGACCTCACATACTCATTCATTTACCATGAATGGCTCTCTTACTCTCTTATTAACATTTCAAAACTCTACTATCATTTATTGGTTTAACACGACAACTATCTCCTCAATTTTTTAATTTACAAATTTTTTATTACTGGTACATATCGTTCCATGGCATCTATCCTCCTTTCATCACATATGCTAATGGTTTATTTCTGTTGCTCCAGTTCTTGATTATATTCATGTGACAAGCATTTCACAAGCATATTACATCATTCCCCATCTTGTGCCAAACCTCCCCGACTCTCGCCCTCACACCTTGGGTATTTATAATGATCAGCGGCTAACACCTCTTCATTTACCCTATTTTTCCCACAAACATTTTTACTTTTGTCTACCTTCACATTTTTATTTTGTAAGCAAAGCTAAAAGAACTATTAATATATACATATATATATATTTTCTACAAATTCCAGTTTGAATAATTGAATCATCTACATAAAATTTAATACACAGGTTTCCAAGTTTATAGATGCACAGAACAGCCATTCATCTCATTCCCAGAGCATCTCTTGGTGATGAAATAAATAACTACACTTATTTATTGATGACAATGACTTAGTCTTTAACACTTTTAGGGTCTTCATGACAAGGTTCAGATATCAGTGAACATGATGCAGGTGTCAATGTTCATAGTGCGCAAGACAGCTAAGATTTGGTGTGTCATGCAAGAGACCTCTTGTTTCTTTAGCAAATGAACATGTGAACAAAAATTCATATTCAGGATTTAGTAACGAGGATTCTGATAATAATAGCAGGGTTTTGGCTAGTGTTAGTGATATGTGTAGTATATTGGCTGGCACTATCTCTTATCAGGTGGTAGTGGCAACTGACGAGCGTGTGGCTATACTATTCTATGCTTGGATCAGCAGTTACATGATTATAACATTTGCTAGAACCACTTAGTGGTTCGCAACAGTGCATGAACATGTAGTTATATGTAATGGGTCTATACAGTATGATGATCACAAGAACAACATTTTATTGTTTAAAGAATATTATATTGCGCACATATTAATAACATGAGTGTATTTGTGTGTATTGATGTTCTGCATGCTTTATTATAGAAATTTCTCAAATTAAACACTAGTGAAAAAAATAACTAGTGAAAAACAAAGCCATGGCACAAAGTAAATCGGTATAAATATATTCACGGCATCTCCTGCTATGCATCTGGCCCGGGTGACCTAACAGTGTCTGCTCCATGAACTCATTGCAAAATTTCACCACCAGCACAGCCAAAGTAAGCTAATTTTTTAATTTTTTTTTATGGTGGAGCCCCAAGCGGCTCCATGAAACTATTCACCAGGAAAAAATACAGAAAGTCAAGCTTTACAGACAACTGAAGGGTTAACAAAGACCAAGTCCTCAAAAACGACAAACGACTCCACAAATGATTCACACAAAAGAGAAACATTTAAAACTAGAGTGAAACTTGGTACCGAATGCCTGAATGTACCAGGTAACCCGGCTTCCGTACACAATCATCTTCCTTGCAAGTTCTTTTGCCGATGTCCTGCTGGACACTACTGCTCCAGGTCTTTCATGCATAGCAAGCTTCCTAGCTTCAAGCTAAGTGCAAGTAGTCCCTGCAGGGGAGGGGACATTTGCTTTGAATTTTGTTCTATATTTTAGTTCTTGCTTCACATGCATGTTTTCTATCTAGATTCTTTTGTGGGCTTTGCTTTTGTTGTGCTCTGGGCTACACGCACTCTGGGTTCCTTGCCAGGGTGCCTGCTAGCACTTCTGCACCAAAAGATATCTTCTCTGGTGTGTTTGGGAGTTCACCCCTGAGAGACCAGGCCACCAGGATGGAGAGCCTCACTTAGGCTATTCACAAGTTTTTGACTCCTTTGTTTGAGCCCTTGGCTGGGGCTATTCTGTTGGTTGTCCTGGGGCATGCTTGGGCTCAATTGTTTGTTTATGGGATACGCTGTAGATGTTGTTTATGCCGGGTTGTTTTGGCTGTGCTTAGCGTCTTGTCTTCCGGCAAGCAGCCTCAGTGCCAGCCTCAAGTAACTGGCAACGGGTGGCATCCAGCCCCCGACCCGGGACAACAACGGTCAGCTGTATACCCCGCTAGGACCATTTTCTCCACCGTGCAATAAGTACCTCCACATACAGTTGAACGAATAAACATAGCATAAGGCTTCAACTAGACAGAGGACACTGTCCCATGGAGCATCACACTCCCCCCACCCCACCAAGCCCCCCTCATGATTCCAACGGGCTGGATAGGAAAGGGGGGGGGGGAGTTTCAGACCAAATGGTACAAGGTACTTTACACACACTACTTCATACACTCAGGAATATTGGAAGATATTTTATTGCTGTATCCAGATTTTGATAGCAGAGGTTAATAGATCAGCCTCGCACTTCACGTTCTCTCATCATTCCATGTATGACTAACCATCCTGTGAGATGGGAATATTAGATGAACTTGTAGCTAGTTTTTGATCTACACTCTATAATCTTTCATAAAGAATAGTGTAGCAGCACACTGCTACACTACACTAAGTACACTAAGCTTGGTAATAAAACTATAATGCTGCTAAAAGTGAATGTATACATACAGGTAAAGTTTTAGAATATTTCTATTTGAAATAATATACATTTCATATTTTTATCACTTCTCTACCTCAAAATCTAACACACACCCACCCACACACACACACACACACACACACTTCTTTTCATGGGTATAATTGGACAGACTTGTTGCTAGGTAAGGAAATAAATGAGATGTTTGCCATATTTTGCAAAATATACGATGAAGGCACACAAACATTCATACCAAAACAGAGATGCAGACCTAGGAAACAGGATTGGTTTAACAGAAATTGCAAGAGGGCCAGAGATCAAAAGACACAGGCATGGAATCATTATAGGAAGAGGCTAAACCCCCAAACATACCAGCGATACAAAGATGCGAGAAACAACTACACGTCAGTAAGGAGAGAGGCAGAGAGGAACTTTGAGAACGGTATAGCAGACAAATGTAAATAAGATCCCGGCCTTTTCTATAAATTCATTAAAAGCAAGCTGCAGGTAAAGGATAATATTCAGAGGTTGAAAATGGGGGACAGATACACGGAAAATGAAAAGGAAATGTGTGAAACATTAAACGAATAGCTCCAAAGTGTGTTTGTACAAAATGAGATCTTCAGGGAACCAGACGCAATAAGAATTCCAGAGAACATGATAGAGCACATAGAGGTGTCTAGAGATGAAGTGAAACAAATGCTCTTGCAGCTAAGTAAGAACAAAGCAGTTGGCCCAGATGGAGTTTCACCATGGGTTCTGAGAGAATGTGCACCTGAGCACAGAATACCACTTCGGCTGATTTTTCAGGCATCCCTGTGTACAGGAGTTGTAGCAGATGTGTAGAAACAGGCTAACATAGTTCCAATCTACAAAAGTGGAAGCAGGGAAGACCCCCTTAATTATAGACCTGTATCATTGACAAGTGTAATAGTCAAAATATTGGACAAAATAATATAAACTAAATGAGTAGAACACCTGGCGAGAAATAATATAATATCAGACAGACAGTATGGGTTTCGATCTGGAAGATCCTGTGTATCAAATTTACTCAGTTTCTATGATCGAGCCACAGAGATTTTACAGGAAAGAGATGGTTGGGTTGACTGCATCTATCTGGACCTAAAAAAAAAAGCTTTCGACAGAGTTCCACACAAGAGGTTGTTCTGGAAACTGGAAAATATTGGAGGAGTGACAGGTAAGCTTCTAACATGGATGAAAAATTTTCTGTTAGAAAAATGAGGGCAGTGATCAGAGGCAATGTATCGGAATGGAGAAATGTCACAAGTGGAGTACCACAGGGTTCAGTTCTTGCACCAGTGATGTTTATTGTCTACATAAATGATCTACCAGTTGGTATGCAGAATTATATGAACATGTTTGCTGATGATGCTAAGATAATAGGAAGGATAAGAAATTTAGATGACTGTCATGCCCTTCAAGAAGACCTGGACAAAATAAGTATATGGAGCACCACTTGGCAAATGGAATTTAATGTTAATAAATGTCATGTTATGGAATGTGGAATAGGAGAACATAGACCCCACACAACCTATATATTATGTGAGAAATCTTTAAAGAATTCTGATAAAGAAAGAGATCTAGGAGTGGTTCTAGATAGAAAACTATCACCTGAGGACCACATAAAGAATGTTGTGCGAGGAGCCTATGCCACGCTTTCTAACTTCAGAATTGTTTTTAAATACATGGATGGCGATATACTAAAGAAATTGTTCACGACTTTTGTTAGGCCAAAGCTAGAATATGCAGCGGTTGTGTGATGCCCATATCTTAAGAAGCACATCAACAAACTGGAAAAGGTGCAAAGACATGCTACTAAGTGGCTCCCAGAACTGAAGGGCAAGAGCTACGAGGAAAGGATAGAGGCATTAAATATGTCAAAACTAGAAGACAAGAAAAGGTGATATGATCACTACATACAAAATAGTAACAGGAATTGATAAAATCGACAGGGAAGATTTCCCGAGACCTAGAACTTCAAGAACAAGAGGTCATAGATTTAAACTAATTAAACAAAGATGCCGAAGAAATATAAGAAAATTCACTTTCGCAAACAGAGTGGTAGACGGTTGGAACAAGTTAGGGGAGAAGGTGGTGGAGGCCAAGACCATCAGTAGTTTCAAAGCGTTACAAAGAGTGCTGGGAAGACGGGACACCACGAGCGTAGCTCTCATCCTGTAACTACACTTAGGTAATTACACACACACACACACACACACACACACACACACACACAGGAGGCTACAAGATGACCTGGATAGACTGAGTGAATGGTCCAACAAATGGCTGTTGAAGTTCAACCCGAGTAAATGCAAAGTAATGAAACTAGGCAGTGGAAACAGGAGGCCAGGCACAGGATACAGAATAGGAGATGAAGTACTTAATGAAACAGACAGAGAGAAAGATCTAGGAGTTGATATCACACCAAACCTGTCTCCTGAAGCCCACATAAAGAGAATAACGTCTGCGGCATATGCGAGGCTGGCTAACATCAGAACGGCGTTCAGGAACCTGTGTAAGGAATCATTCAGAATCTTGTACACCACATATGTAAGACCAATCCTGGAGTATGCGGCCCCAGCATGGAGCCCGTACCTTGTCAAGCACAAGACGAAGCTGGAAAAAGTCCAAAGGTATGCTACTAGACTAGTCCCAGAACTAAGAGGCATGAGTTATGAGGAAAGGCTGCGGGAAATGCACCTTACGACACTGGAAGACAGAAGAGTAAGGGGGGACATGATCACAGCCTACAAAATCCTCAGGGGAATCGACCGGGTAAACAAGGATGAACTATTCAACACTGGTGGGACGCGAAGGGGACACAGGTGGAAGCTGAGTACCCAAATGAGCCACAGAGACGTTAGAAAGAACTTTTTCAGTGTCAGAGTAGTTAGTAAATGGAATGCATTAGGAAGTGATGTGGTGGAGGCTGACTCCATACACAGTTTCAAGTGTAGATATGATAGAGCCCAATAGGCTCAGGAATCTGTACACCAGTTGATTGACCGTTGAGAGGCGGGACCAAAGAGCCAAAGCTCAACCCCCGCAAGCACAATTAGGTGAGTACAATTAGGTGAGTACACACACACACACAGCACTTGTAGGCACAATACTGTGCAAAATAATGACAATATGTACACTAGTCACTTATCGGTTACTATACAAATTGTACAGAACTAAGCACAGGTCTCTTAAGCTGACTTATAAACATGAAGGACCAATGAAACAACAGTTTAAACAAGCGTCAGTAAATTACAGCCAATGATGTAGCCACTGTAGACTGTGTTACTCAGTGTTCAACCTTCACGTTTCAACTTCACCATAATTTGTAATGGATCTATTCTTCAAATTCTCTCTCACTATATATATATATATTTACAATAACATTAATCCTTTTCTTAACTTTCCTACTGGATTAAATGATCGAAGGTGTTTTTCATATCTTGCCATTCTATAGCCCCAGAGTTTGAGAGCTTTGTCGCAAACTTTCTGGATGTCCACAACTTCCTGCCACGTCAGGTCCTGCTGCCAGTGGACCGGAGCCGTCTTAGAGTTACGGAAAGTACTTGACACTCCGCCAACTTTTTTTGTAGTGTGCGTATCTAAAAATGTTTGCACTCGAGGATGGTAGTCGAGGTGGAAGAAATCGAACAGGTCTTTGGTCATGTTGTGAGCGTGGAAGGAGAAGTCCTCGTACCGGATGACTCTGCAAGGAGAGAAAGTACCACACTGTACATGGTTGTCTACACTGACCCATCACCACACTGTACATGGTTGTCTACACTGACCCATCACCACACTGTACATGGTTGTCTACACTGACCCATCACACTGTACATGGTTGTCTACACTGACCCATCACCACACTGCACATGGTTGTCTACACTGACCCATCACACTGTACATGGTTGTCTACACTGACCCATCACCACACTGTACATGGTTGTCTACACTGACCCATCACACTGTACATGGTTGTCTACACTGACCCATCACCACACTGTACATGGTTGTCTACACTGACCCATCACCACACTGTACATGGTTGTCTACACTGACCCCCCATCACCACACTGTACATGGTTGCCTACACTGACCCATCACCACACTGTACATGGTTGTCTACATTGACCCATCACCACACTGTACATGGTTGTCTACACTGACCCATCACTACACTGTACATGGTTGTCTACACTGACCCATCACCACACTGTACATGGTTGTCTACACTGACCCATCACACTGTACATGGTTGTCTACACTGACCCATCACCACACTGTACATGGTTGTCTACACTGACCCATCACCACACTGTACATGGTTGTCTACACTGACCCCCCATCACCACACTGTACATGGTTGTCTACACTGACCCATCACCACACTGTACATGGTTGTCTACATTGACCCATCACCACACTGTACATGGTTGTCTACACTGACCCATCACTACACTGTACATGGTTGTCTACACTGACCCATCACCACACTGTACATGGTTGTCTACACTGACCCATCACCACACTGTACATGGTTGTCTACACTGACCCCCCATCACCACACTGTACATGGTTGTCTACACTGACCCATCACCACACTGTACATGGTTGTCTACACTGACCCATCACCACACTGTACATGGTTGTCTACACTGACCCATCACCACACTGTACATGGTTGTCTACACTGACCCATCACCACACTGTACATGGTTGTCTACACTGACCCATCACTACACTGTACATGGTTGTCTACACTGACTCATCACTACACTGTACATGCTTGTCTACACTGACCCATCACTACACTGTACATGGTTGTCTACACTGACCCATCACTACACTGTACATGGTTGTCTACACTGACCCATCACCACACTGTACATGGTTGTCTACACTGACCCATCACTACACTGTACATGGTTGTCTACACTGACCCCCCATCACCACACTGTACATGGTTGTCTACACTGACCCATCACCACACTGTACATGGTTGTCTACACTGACCCCCCATCACCACACTGTACATGGTTGTCTACACTGACCCATCACCACACTGTACATGGTTGTCTACACTGACCCATCACCACACTGTACATGGTTGTCTACACTGACCCATCACCACACTGCACATGGTTGTCTACACTGACCCATCACCACACTGCACATGGTTGTCTACACTGACCCATCACGTTATTACTATCAATAACACCATTGTTATTATTGCCGTCTAATTCAGGCCGTTCCCCTACAGGCCCAACTAATATTTAGAGTTATAAGGGACAAGTGCAAGAGAGACAATATCAGTGAACATTTGGTTGTAAGGAGCTGGCCAAGATGGCGCCTTGAGTCTTGGCGGTGAACGAGCTCCCGCCTAGTGCGGCGACACTGCTCTAGAGGGTATACAGTGAAGGGTCCAGCATTGATGATTGATTGATGAAGATTAAGCCACCCAAAAGGTGGCACGGGCATGAATAGCCCGTAAGTGGTGGCCCTTTTAAGCCATTACCAGTATCAAGAGCTGATACTGGAGATCTGTGGAGGTGCGACTGCACCCTGCGTGACGGGAGATGTCTCCCGGGTCCAGCAGCTGGATACCCTCATAAATACTGTCATGCAGTCTCCTCCACTGCAACAGCAGCCACATAGTAAGGACTGATGGTTTATATGCGAGCTCGGCACACAGTTTTTCACGGCTAAAGATCACATCATTCACTCCAAAGAATCTATCACGGGCTATTCATGCCCGTGCCACCTCTTGGGTGGCTAAATCTTCCCGGCACCAAACCAGGAGGACCTTGAGGCGCTGGATATCCATAAGGCGTTAAATATCACTTAAAATGCCAATATGAGAAAAAGCACACAAGGCGAGCAGTATGAAAGCTCTCTGATTCGTCAAGGATGCCATCGAGGGAGGACATGCCCTCGGGGGACATGCCCTCGGGGGACATGCCCCCGGGGGACATGCCCCCGGGGAACATGCCCTCGGGGAACATGCCCTCGGGGGACATGCCCCCGGGGGACATGCCCTCGGGGGACATGCCCTCGGGGGACATGCCCTCGGGGGACATGCCCTCGGGGGACATGCCCTCGGGGGACATGCCCTCGGGGGACAAGCCCCCGGGGAACATGCCCCCGGGGAACATGCCCCCGGGGGACATGCCCTCGGGGGACATGCCCTCGGGGGACATGCCCTCGGGGGACATGCCCCCGGGGGACATGCCCCTGGGGGTAGGACATACCCAGATATTAGTGCCCTAAACACCGAGACAGTCCACAAGGGGCACGACTAAGCGGGCCCATAAGGAGCAGGGCGGCGGTCCAGTAAGTGCCTATAAGAGTTCATCATGAACGGTCAACATTTGACCTGAGCCAAAGGTGTTTCCCACCGTGTACTCCAGTGAGAGGATGACGGCCAAGGGAGCAGGTGCCCCGAGTTTACCCGAGACCCACTAACACTAGTGGCCTCGACGAGGACAGGAAGCCGGCGGCTTGTCGAAGGTTCCCCCCCCCCCCCATTTGCCGTGATCTTTTCCATCTGTACTTAAAAGGTTAACAGGGTTTTGGCATTACCGGCCTCGACGGGTAGGCGGTTCCATGGGTCGTTCCAACCATGGGGGGAACAATGTTGTAACAACCATAAGGGCAAGGCTGGAACGACCATGGGGGCATGGTTGGAACGACCACGGGGGGCAAGGTTGGAACGACCATGGGGGGGCAAGGTTGGAACGACCATGGGGGGGGGCAAGGTTGGAACGACCATGGGGGGGCAAAGTTGGAACGACCATGGGGGGGGGCAAGGTTGGAACGACCATGGGGGGGGCAAGGTTGGAACGACCACGGGGGGCAAGGTTGGAACGACCATGGGGGGCAAGGTTGTAACAACCATAAGGGCAAGGCTGGAACGACCATGGGGGCAAGGTTGGAACGACCATGGGGGGGGCAAGGTTGGAACGACCATGGGGGGGGGCAAGGCTGGAACGACCATGGGGGGGGCAAGGTTGGAACGACCATGGGGGGGCAAGGTTGGAACGACCATGGGGGGGGCAAGGCTGGAACGACCATGGGGGGCAAGGTTGGAACGACCATGGGGGGCAAGGTTGGAACGACCATGGGGGGGGGGGGCAAGGCTGGAACGACCATGGGGGGGGCAAGGCTGGAACGACCATGGGGGGGCAAGGTTGGAACGACCATGGGGGGCAAGGTTGGAACGACCATGGGGGGCAAGGCTGGAACGACCATGGGGGGGGGGGCAAGGTTGGAACGACCATGGGGGGGCAAGGCTGGAACGACCATGGGGGGCAAGGCTGGAACGACCATGGGGGGGGGCAAGGTTGGAACGACCATGGGGGGGGGCAAGGTTGGAACGACCATGGGGGGCAAGGTTGGAACGACCATGGGGGGCAAGGTTGGAACGACCATGGGGGGCAAGGTTGGAACGACCATGGGGGGCAAGGCTGGAACGACCATGGGGGGCAAGGCTGGAACGACCATGGGGGGCAAGGTTAGAACGACCATGGGGGGCAAGGCTGGAACGACCATGGGGGGCAAGGTTAGAACGACCATGGGGGGCAAGGCTGGAACGACCATGGGGGGGCAAGGCTGGAACGACCATGGGGGGGGCAAGGCTGGAACGACCATGGGGGGCAAGGTTGAAACGACCATGGGGGCAAGGCTGGAACGACCATGCGGGGCAAGGTTGGAACGACCATGGGGGGCAAGGTTGGAACGACCATGGGGGGCAAAATTGGAACGACCATGGGGGGCAAGGTTGGAACGACCATGGCGGGCAAGGTTGGAACGACCATGGGGGGCAAGGTTGGAACGACCATGGGAGGCAAGGTTGGAACGACCATGGGAGGCAAGGTTGGAACGACCATGGGAGGCAAGGTTGGAACGACCATGGGAGGCAAGGTTGGAACGACCATGGGAGGCAAGGTTGGAACGACCATGGGGGGGGCATGGTTGGAACGACCATGGGGGGCAAGGTTGGAACGACCATGGGGGCAAGGTTGGAACGACCATGGGAGGCAAGGTTGGAACGACCATGGGGGGCAAGGTTGGAACGACCGTGGGGGGGGGGCAAGGTTGGAACGACCATGGGGGGGGGGGCAAGGTTGGAACGACCATGGGGGGCAAGGTTGGAACGACCATGGGGGGGCAAGGTTGGAACGACCATGGGGGCAAGGTTGGAACGACCATGGGGGGCAAGGTTGGAACGACCATGGGGGCAAGGTTGGAACGACCACGGGGGCAAGGTTGGAACGACCATGGGGGGCAAGGTTGGAACGACCATGGGGGGCAAGGTTGGAACGACCATGGGGGCAAGGTTGGAACGACCATGGGGGGGCAAGGTTGGAACGACCATGGGGGGCAAGGCTGGAACGACCATGGGGGGGGGCAAGGTTGGAACGACCATGGGGGGCAAGGTTGGAACGACCATGGGGGCAAGGCTGGAACGACCATGGGGGGCAAGGTTGGAACGACCATGGGGGGGCAAGGTTGGAACGACCATGGGGGGGTCAAGGTTGGAACGACCATGGGGGGGCAAGGTTGGAACGATCATGGGGGGGTCAAGGTTGGAACGACCATGGGGGTCAAGGTTGGAACGACCATGGGGGTCAAGGTTGGAACGACCATGGGGGGGCAAGGTTGGAACGACCATGGGGGGGCAAGGTTGGAACGACCATGGGGGGGCAAGGTTGGAACGACCATGGGGGGGGTCAAGGTTGGAACGACCATGGGGGGGTCAAGGTTGGAACGACCATGTGGGGGCAAGGTTGGAACGACCATGGGGGGCAAGGTTGGAACGACCATGGGGGGCAAGGCTGGAACGACCATGGGGGGGGGCAAGGTTGGAACGACCATGGGGGGGCATGGTTGGAACGACCATGGGGGGGGCAAGGCTGGAACGACCATGGGGGGGGCAAGGCTGGAACGACCACGGCGAAAAGAACGTAGTGGGGATAAAATATTATATTTTCAGGACGTGTCACATTACTTTCCCCAGGTCAAAAAAGAGAGAGGGCAAGAACGGAGGTCTTGGCAGCACTAGCAGTACAAATACATCCCTCCAAGTTCACCAACACTTTAACCCACCTGAATGAATGTGGAAACTTTCTGGTAAAGATGCGGGCAGTGTTGTAGTCGTTGACGAGGTCGTCACAGAGCCTGGCAGGGTCGTCACAGTCAGCGTTACCGGGACACCAGTTGCGGTGGGCGCGGGACTGCATGGTCCCGCGCGGGTCCCGGACCAATAGCACCACCTGCACTCCTAGTCTGAAACACGCACACAACAACTTTACTTCAATATGAGCGACACCTTTGTTGTCTATGAATAGTTTTTGTTAGTAAGGTCTCTTGCGGTCACTTGGTACATGTGAATATTGGTGCTCTGGACCGTTGACGCACCAGACAACTTACTGCTAAAATACCTTGATTACCCTCGGTCACCAGTCTACATAATTAAATAAAAATATATACGTTATTTTTATTAATAAAAGTACAGGAAAATAGTCACACATTTTATATATATATATATATATATATATATATATATATATATATATATATATATATATATAAAGATATATATATATCTTTATATATATATATATATATATATATATATATATATATATATATATATATATATATATATATATATATATATTTTGGTAGCAGTCTTTCCTGTAGACATATTTTATTAAATATGACCGAAAAAGTAAGATTAATAATTCTAACACGAATTTTCTCAATCTTTCGTACATTATGCTTCACTGTTGGAGGTAAATCAAAAATCACTTCTCCAAAATTCATTTTTATTTCTAGTCTGACGCGACACGGGCGCGTTTCGTAAAACTTATTACATTTTCAAAGACTTCACAAATACACAACTGATTAGAACTTGCGTTTCCCTGATTTTATATCTACATTTGAGTGAGGTGGGAAGGGTGATGTGGCATTACATTTGAGTGAGGTGGGAAGGATGATGTGGCATTAGAGGATATTAATAGGGTATTAAAAGTATCAACACAAGACAGAACACGAAACAATGGATATTGAATAGAAGTGTTTGTAGAAAGCCTATTGGTCCATATTTCTTGATGCTTCTATATTGGAGCGGAGTCTTGAGGTGGGTAGAATATAGTTGTGCAATAATTGGCTGTTGATTGCTGGTGTTGACTTCTTGATGTGTAGTGCCTCGCAAACGTCAAGCCGCCTGCTATCGCTGTATCTATCGATGATTTCTGTGTTGTTTACTAGGATTTCTCTGGCGATGGTTTGGTTATGGGAAGAGATTATATGTTCCTTAATGGAGCCCTGTTGTTTATGCATCGTTAAACGCCTAGAAAGAGATGTTGTTGTCTTGCCTATATACTGGGTTTTTTGGAGCTTACAGTCCCCAAGTGGGCATTTGAAGGCATAGACGACGTTAGTCTCTTTTAAAGCGTTCTGTTTCGTGTCGAGAGTTTCTCATGAGTAGGCTGGCCGTTTTTCTGGTTTTATAGTAAATCGTCAGTTGTATCCTCTGATTTTTGTCTGTAGGGATAACGTTTCTATTAACAATATCTTTCAGGACCCTTTCCTCTGTTTTATGAGCTGTGGAAAAGAAGTTCCTGTAAAATAGTCTAATAGGGGGTATAGGTGTTGTGTTAGTTGTCTCTTCGGAGGTTGCATGGCTTTTCACTTTCCTTTTCACTTTTCACTTTTCACTTTCACGAAACAGAACGCTTTAAAAGAGACTAACGTCGTCTATGCCTTCAAATGCCCACTTGGGGACTGTAAGCTCCAAAAAACCCAGTATATAGGCAAGACAACAACATCTCTTTCTAGGCGTTTAACGATGCATAAACAACAGGGCTCCATTAAGGAACATATAATCTCTTCCCATAACCAAACCATCGCCAGAGAAATCCTAGTAAACAACACAGAAATCATCGATAGATACAGCGATAGCAGGCGGCTTGACGTTTGCGAGGCACTACACATCAAGAAGTCAACACCAGCAATCAACAGCCAATTATTGCACAACTATATTCTACCCACCTCAAGACTCCGCTCCAATATAGAAGCATCAAGAAATATGGACCAATAGGCTTTCTACAAACACTTCTATTCAATATCCATTGTTTCGTGTTCTGTCTTGTGTTGATACTTTTAATACCCTATTAATATCCTCTAATGCCACATCATCCTTCCCACCTCACTCAAATGTAATGCCACATCACCCTTCCCACCTCACTCAAATGTAGATATAAAATCAGGGAAACGCAAGTTCTAATCAGTTGTGTATTTGTGAAGTCTTTGAAAATGTAATAAGTTTTACGAAACGCGCCCGTGTCGCGTCAGACTAGAAATAAAAATGAATTTTGGAGAAGTGATTTTTGATTTACCTCCAACAGTGAAGCATAATGTACGAAAGATTGAGAAAATTCGTGTTAGAATTATTAATCTTACTTTTTCGGTCATATTTAATAAAATATATATATATATATATATATATATATATATATATATATATATATATATATATATATATCTTTAACAATGTTTCGTTCCACTCTGCAACATCTTCACGTAAAGAATGAATATACAAGGTAAAAGTTTATCTTAAATATACACATGAAAGGTGTGTGTGGAGGGGAGGGGGGTAAGGTGGAGTAATCAAACACAGGTCATGAAATATGAGAGTAATGGTGATGGATGCCAACACTGGGTAAGGCAGTGGGCGGGAGTAGAGATTGAATCTCTACAGAGTAGAAACTCTGTATAGGTTGTCGGTATCTGGTGTTGTGTGGTGAGGTCTGGGTCTGAGCGTAGGCAAGGTGTTGTGTGGTGAGGTCTGGGTCTGAGCGTAGGCAAGGTGTTGTATGGTGAGGTCTGGGTCTGAGCGTAGGCAAGGTGTTGTGTGGTGAGGTCTGGGTCTGAGCGTAGGCAAGGTGTTGTGTGGTGAGGTCTGGGTCTGAGCGTAGGCAAGGTGTTGTGTGGTGAGGTCTGGGTCTGAGCGTAGGCAAGGTGTTGTATGGTGAGGTCTGGGTCTGAGCGTAGGCAAGGTGTTGTGTGGTGAGGTCTGGGTCTGAGCGTAGGCAAGGTGTTGTGTGGTGAGGTCTGGGTCTGAGCGTAGGCAAGGTGTTGTGTGGTGAGGTCTGGGTCTGAGCGTAGGCAAGGTGTTGTGTGGTGAGGTCTGGGTCTGAGCGTAGGCAAGGTGTTGTGTGGTGAGGTCTGGGTCTGAGCGTAGGCAAGGTGTTGTGTGGTGAGGTCTGGGTCTGAGCGTAGGCAAGGTGCTGTATGGTGAGGTCTGGGTCTGAGCGTAGGCAAGGTGCTGTATGGTGAGGTCTGGGTCTGAGCGTAGGCAAGGTGTTGTGTGGTGAGGTCTGGGTCTGAGCATAGGCAAGGTGTTGTATGGTGAGGTCTGGGTCTGAGCGTAGGCAAGGTGCTGTATGGTGAGGTCTGGGTCTGAGCGTAGGCAAGGTGTTGTGTGGTGAGGTCTGGGTCTGAGCGTAGGCAAGGTGTTGTGTGGTGAGGTCTGGGTCTGAGCGTAGGCAAGGTGTTGTATGGTGAGGTCTGGGTCTGAGCGTAGGCAAGGTTCTGTATGGTGAGGTCTGGGTCTGAGCTTAGGCAAGATGTTGTGTGGTGAGGTCTGGGTCTGAGCATAGGCAAGGTGTTGTGTGGTGAGGTCTGGGTCTGAGCGTAGGCAAGGTGTTGTATGGTGAGGTCTGGGTCTGAGCGTAGGCAAGGTGTTGTGTGGTGAGGTCTGGGTCTGAGCGTAGGCAAGGTGTTGTGTGGTGAGGTCTGGGTCTGAGCGTAGGCAAGGTTCTGTATGGTGAGGTCTGGGTCTGAGCGTAGGCAAGGTTCTGTATGGTGAGGGCTGGGTCTGAGCGTAGGCAAGGTGCTGTATGGTGAGGTCTGGGTCTGAGCTTAGGCAAGGTCTTGTGTGGTGAGGTCTGGGTCTGAGCGTAGGCAAGGTGTTGTGTGGTGAGGTCTGGGTCTGAGCGTAGGCAAGGTGCTGTATGGTGAGGTCTGGGTCTGAGTGTAGGCAAGGTGCTGTATGGTGAGGTCTGGGTCTGAGCATAGGCAAGGTGCTGTATGGTGAGGTCTGGGTCTGAGTGTAGGCAAGGTGCTGTATGGTGAGGTCTGGGTCTGAGTGTAGGCAAGGTGCTGTATGGTGAGGTCTGGGTCTGAGCGTAGGCAAGATGCTGTATGGTGAGGTCTGGGTCTGAGTGTAGGCAAGGTGCTGTATGGTGAGGTCTGGGTCTGAGCGTAGGCAAGATGCTGTATGGTGAGGTCTGGGTCTGAGTGTAGGCAAGGTGCTGTATGGTGAGGTCTGGGTCTGAGCGTAGGCAAGGTGCTGTATGGTGAGGTCTGGGTCTGAGTGTAGGCAAGGTGCTGTATGGTGAGGTCTGGGTCTGAGTGTAGGCAAGGTTCTGTATGGTGAGGGCTGGGTCTGAGCGTAGGCAAGGTGTTGTATGGTGAGGTCTGGGTCTGAGTGTAGGCAAGGTGCTGTATGGTGAGGTCTGGGTCTGAGTGTAGGCAAGGTTCTGTATGGTGAGGGCTGGGTCTGAGCGTAGGCAAGGTGTTGTATGGTGAGGTCTGGGTCTGAGTGTAGGCAAGGTGCTGTATGGTGAGGGCTGGGTCTGAGCGTAGGCAAGGTTCTGTATGGTGAGGTCTGGGTCTGAGCGTAGGCAAGGTTCTGTATGGTGAGGGCTGGGTCTGAGCGTAGGCAAGGTGCTGTATGGTGAGGTCTGGGTCTGAGTGTAGGCAAGGTGCTGTATGGTGAGGTCTGGGTCTGAGTGTAGGCAAGGTGCTGTACGGTGAGGTCTGGGTCTGAGCGTAGGCAAGGTTCTGTATGGTGAGGTCTGGGTCTGAGCGTAGGCAAGGTGTTGTGTGGTGAGGTCTGGGTCTGAGCATAGGCAAGGTTCTGTATGGTGAGGTCTGGGTCTGAGCTTAGGCAAGGTGTTGTGTGGTGAGGTCTGGGTCTGAGCGTAGGCAAGGTGCTGTATGGTGAGGTCTGGGTCTGAGCTTAGGCAAGGTGCTGTATGGTGAGGTCTGGGTCTGAGCGTAGGCAAGGTGTTGTGTGGTGAGGTCTGGGTCTGAGCGTAGGCAAGGTGTTGTATGGTGAGGTCTGGGTCTGAGCGTAGGCAAGGTGTTGTGTGGTGAGGTCTGGGTCTGAGCGTAGGCAAGGTGTTGTATGGTGAGGTCTGGGTCTGAGCGTAGGCAAGGTGTTGTATGGTGAGGTCTGGGTCTGAGCGTAGGCAAGGTGCTCTATGGTGAGGTCTGGGTCTGAGCATAGGCAAGGTTCTGTATGGTGAGGTCTGGGTCTGAGCTTAGGCAAGGTGTTGTGTGGTGAGGTCTGGGTCTGAGCGTAGGCAAGGTATTGAAGTCGTTATTCTGACTATTTATGGGGGGTCTTTTTTTCCACTATGAGTATAGCTTTCAGTATTTGCAGTCTTCACAGGAGTAGACTGTAAATACTGGAAGCTAGCGAGAACATTTTTACAGCATACAGACCATCTCCAACGTTTAGGTACGTTATCATCCTGTATGTGCCGTTCATGTTCTCTGTATTCCCTCTGCTTCAGTAACCTGTAAACACTCTTGTAGAAGATGTAGTAAACATGGACTGTTCTAAAGCTTTAGATAAGGTCACACGAAGGATTAACAACAAAACTACAAGCACATGGGGATAAATGGTGGCGTACTATTATGGTTGATATAATGGATGAAAACAAGAGAGCAAGGGGTTGTCCTTAATGGAAATGAATATGACTGGAAAAATGTGACGAGTTGGGTACCACAGGAGTCCATCTTGTGGTATATTGTCCATGTGTTCCCCTCACTGCCCCCCCACACACCTGCTTGTGGTGTCTTACACTGTCCATGTGTTCCCCTCACTGCCCCCCCCCACACACCTGCTTGTGGTGTCTTACACTGTCCATGTGTTCCCCTCACTGCCCCCACCCCCACACACCTGCTTGTGGTGTCTTACACTGTCCATGTGTTCCCCTCACTGGCCCACCCCCACACACCTGCTTGTGGTGTCTTACACTGTCCATGTGTTCCCCTCACTGCCCCCCCCACACACCTGCTTGTGGTGTCTTACACTGTCCATGTGTTCCCCTCACTGCCCCCTCACACACCTGCTTGTGGTGTCTTACACTGTCCATGTGTTCCCCTCACTGCCACCCCCCCACACACCTGCTTGTGGTGTCTTACACTGTCCATGTGTTACCCTCACTGCCACCCCCCCACACACCTGCTTGTGGTGTCTTACACTGTCCATGTGTTCCCCTCACTGCCCCCCCCACACACCTGCTTGTGGTGTCTTACACTGTCCATGTGTTCCCCTCACTGCCCCCCCCCACACACCTGCTTGTGGTGTCTTACACTGTCCATGTGTTCCCCTCACTGCCCCCCCCCACACACCGGCTTGTGGTGTCTTACACTGTCCATGTGTTCCCCTCACTGCCCCCCCCCACACACCTGCTTGTGGTGTCTTACACTGTCCATGTGTTCCCCTCACTGCCACCCCCCCCACACACCTGCTTGTGGTGTCTTACACTGTCCATGTGTTCCCCTCACTGCCACCCCCCCCCCCCCCCCACACACCTGCTTGTGGTGTCTTACACTGTCCATGTGTTCCCCTCACTGCCCCCCCCCCACACACCTGCTTGTGGTGTCTTACACTGTCCATGTGTTCCCCTCACTGCCACCCCCCCCACACACCTGCTTGTGGTGTCTTACACTGTCCATGTGTTCCCCTCACTGCCACCCCCCCACACACCTGCTTGTGGTGTCTTACACTGTCCATGTGTTCCCCTCACTGCCCCCAACCCCCACACACCTGCTTGTGGTGTCTTACACTGTCCATGTGTTCCCCTCACTGCCCCCACCCCCACACACCTGCTTGTGGTGTCTTACACTGTCCATGTGTTCCCCTCACTGCCCCCACCCCCCACACACCTGCTTGTGGTGTCTTACACTGTCCATGTGTTCCCCTCACTGCCCCCCCCCACACACCTGCTTGTGGTGTCTTACACTGTCCATGTGTTCCCCTCACTGCCCCCCCCCCACACCTGCTATCTCCACATAACCACATTTCCACAGTACACAAATCTGAATCCAAACTTTCCCCAGCCGGACCCAACACCATCTAAAGTCCATCTTCCATCCTACATTGAACCATTCAACATTTTCCAGAAAAGTAGAAAATGGCCTTTGATCCAGTTAATGGTCTTTCCAGAAGAGACCATTAACTGGACCCCCAGCCTGGACATCGTCACAGTCGCGATGAAACACACCAACTTACTTGTCGTCCTGGAGCAGCTCGCGGGTGAGGTTGAGTCTGAGACGGACCGTCTTGACGGCCTGGAAGGGGAAGAGCTGGCAGAAGGGCTCGAGGAACTGGGGCAGCCAGCACAGGTCCGGGAAGGCTTTGCAGTATGACCACAGCTGCAGGTTGTGGAAGAACAGCCACGGGTGCATAGGACCGTACTCCAGGTAGGACTCTGCAAGTGGCCACTTCTCTCATGTCTCTCACACGGCATTATATAATGAACTGTCCTTGGTGGTCATTATATAATGAACTGTCCTTGGTGTTCATTATATAATGAACACTAAGGACAGTTCATCAATATATGATGAACACCAAGGACAGTTCATTCTATAATGACCACCAAGGACAGTTCATTATATGGTGAACACCAAGGACAGTTCATTATATGATGAACACCAAGGACAGTTCATTCTATAATGACCACCAAGGACAGTTCATTATATGGTGAACACCAAGGACAGTTCATTATATGATGAACACCAAGGACAGTTCATTATATGGTGAACACCAAGGACAGTTCATTATATGGTGAACACCAAGGACAGTTCATTATATAATGAACTGTCCTTGTGTTCATCATATAATGAACTAACATTAATGGTCACCATACAGTATAATGAACTAACATTAATGGTCACCATACAGTATAATGCACTAATATTAATGGTCACCATACAGTATAATGAACTAATATTAATGGTCACCATACAGTATAATGAACTAACATTAATGGTCACCATACAGTATAATGAACTAATATTAATGGTCACCATAGAGTATAATGAACTAATATTAATGATCACCATACAGTATAATGAACTAACATTAATGGTCACCATACAGTATAATGAACTAACATTAATGGTCACCATACAGTATAATGAACTAACATTAATGGTCACCATACAGTATAATGAACTAATATTAATGGTCACCATAGAGTATAATGAACTAATATTAATGGTCACCATACAGTATAATGAACTAATATTAATGGTCACCATACAGTATAATGAACTAACATTAATGGTCACCATACAGTATAATGAACTAACATTAATGGTCACCATACAGTATAATGAACTAACATTAATGGTCACCATACAGTATAATGAACATTAATGGTCAACATACAGTATAATGAACTAATATTAATGGTCACCATACAGTATAATGAACTAACATTAATGGTCACCATACAGTATAATGAACTAATATTAATGGTCACCATACAGTATAATGAACTAACATTAATGGTCACCATACAGTATAATGAACTAACATTAATGGTCACCATACAGTATAATAAACATTAATGGTCACCATACAGTATAATGAACATTAATGGTCACCATACAGTACAATGAACTAACATTAATGGTCACTATACAGTATAATGAACTAATATTAATGGTCACCATACAGTATAATGAGCTAACATTAATGGTCACCATACAGTATAATGAACATTAATGGTCACCATACAGTATAATGAACATTAATGTCACCATACAGTATAATGAACTAATATTAATGGTCACCATACAGTATAATGAACTAACATTAATGGTCACCATACAGTATAATGAACTAACATTAATGGTCACCATACAGTATAATGAACTAACATTAATTGTCACCATACAGTATAATGAACTAACATTAATGGTCAACATACAGTATAATGAACTAATATTAAAGGTCACCATACAGTATAATGAACTAACATTAATGGTCACCATACAGTATAATGAACTAACATTAACGGTCAACATACAGTATAATGAACTAACATTAATGGTCAACATACAGTATAATGAACTAACATTAATGGTCAACATACAGTATAATGAACTAATATTAATGGTCACCATACAGTATAATGAACTAACATTAATGGTCACCATACAGTATAATGAACTAATATTAATGGTCACCATACAGTATAATGAACTAACATTAATGGTCACCATACAGTATAATGAACATTAATGGTCAACATACAGTATAATGAACTAACATTAATGGTCAACATACAGTATAATGAACTAATATTAATGGTCACCATACAGTATAATGAACATTAATGGTCACCATACAGTATAATGAACATTAATGTCACCATACAGTATAATGAACATTAATGTCACCATACAGTATAATGAACTACCCTTCATATCACAGCCCCCCCCCCCGTCCTCAGGAGAGGGGGACCAGCCCCCCCCCCGTCCTCAGGAGAGGGGGACCAGCCCCCCCCCCGTCCTCAGGAGAGGGGGACCAGCGCCCCCCCCCCCGTCCTCAGGAGAGGGGGACCAGCCCCCCCCCCCGTCCTCAGGAGAGGGGGACCAGCGCCCCCCCCCGTCCTCAGGAGAGGGGGACCAGCGCCCCCCCCCCGTCCTCAGGAGAGGGGGACCAGCCCTCCCCCCCCCGTCCTCAGGAGAGGGGGACCAGACCCCCCCCGTCCTCAGGAGAGGGGGACCAGCGCCCCCCCCGTCCTCAGGAGAGGGGGACCAGCCCCCCCCCCCCCGTCCTCAGGAGAGGGGGACCAGCGCCCCCCCCCCGTCCTCAGGAGAGGGGGACCAGCCCCCCCCCGTCCGCAGGATAGGGGGACCGGCCCCCCCCGTCATCAGGAGAGGGGGACCAGCCCCCCCGTCCTCAGGAGAGGGGGACCAGCCCCCCCCGTCCTCAGGAGAGGGGGACCAGCCCCCCCCCGTCCTCAGGAGAGGGGGACCAGCGGCCCCTCCCCAGTCCTCAGGAGAGGGGGACCAGCCCCCCCCCCGTCCTCAGGAGGGGGGACCAGCGCCCCCCCCCCCCCCCGTCCTCAGGAGAGGGGGACCAGCCCCCCCCCCGTCCTCAGGAGAGGGGGACCAGCCCCCCCCCGTCCTCAGGAGAGGGGGACCAGCCCCCCCCCGTCCTCAGGAGAGGGGGGACCAGCCCCCACGTCCTCAGGAGAGGGGGACCAGCCCCCCGTCCTCAGGAGAGGGGGACCAGCCCCCCGTCCTCAGGAGAGGGGGACCAGCCCCCCCGTCCTCAGGAGAGGGGGACCAGCCCCCCCGTCCTCAGGAGAGGGGGACCAGCCCCCCGTCCTCAGGAGAGGGGGACCAGCCCCCACGTCCTCAGGAGAGGGGGACCAGCTCCCACGTCCTCAGGAGAGGGGGACCAGCCCCCACGTCCTCAGGAGAGGTTGACCAGCCCCCCCCCCCGTCCTCAGGAGAGGGGGACCAGCCCCCCTCCGTCCTCAGGAGAGGGGGACCAGCCCCCCCCCCGTCCTCAGGAGAGGGGGAGCCGAAGAACAACGCCTCGGAGCTAAATAAAGAAGTAAGCCAACAAGTAAGAAGTCCCAATTAAGAATGAGTGTGTGTTCTTGAGTGTGGGCTCACCCATGTTGGTGTAGTTACAAGTAAGCAGGTGACGTAAGCTATAGATGGCTTGCTCGGCCAGCTTCCCCTCACGGATCTGCGAGATGCCGAAGTCCAGCAGCGGCTCATAGTGGTAGAATGTGGCCGGGTGGCTCTGGAGGACGTCTCCTGCGGGGCATCAGGCAGAGCCTTACATCACAACGTAAAGTTTAGTACAGAAATATGATCTTTGTCAAATGTCTAAACGTGTAATTTACTTCATTTTTTTTTATATTTTTGTTTTAATAATTTGAAATTTAAATTAGTAGATACATCGATATATACTGGAGAGTTAACATATATTGACTAAACTCTTAACTACAGTTGCTATATATCAAGTTATTCAAACGAATTCTCATTTATGGTTGGTACTGCTAATGGTCGGCCCCACACCAGGCAGGACCAGTGTGGTGCACCAGGCAGGACCTGTGTGGTGCACCAGGACCAGTGTGGTGCACCAGGCAGGACCTGTGTGGTGCACCAGGACCAGTGTGGTGCACCAGGACCAGTGTGGTGCACCAGGACAGTCCCCACACCAGGCAGGACCAGTGAGGTGCACCAGGACAGTCCCCACACCAGGCAGGACCAGTGAGGTGCACCAGGACAGTCCCCACACCAGGCAGGACCAGTGTGGTGCACCAGGACCAGTGTGGTGCACCAGGACAGTCCCCACACCAGGCAGGACCAGTGTGGTGCACCAGGACAGTCCCCACACCAGGCAGGACCAGTGTGGTGCACCAGGACAGTCCCCACACCAGGCAGGACCAGTGTGGTGCACCAGGACCAGTGTGGTGCACCAGGACAGTCCCCACACCAGGCAGGACCAGTGTGGTGCACCAGGACCAGTGAGGTGCACCAGGACAGTCCCCACACCAGGCAGGACCAGTGTGGTGCACCAGGACAGTCCCCACACCAGGCAGGACCAGTGAGGTGCACCAGGACAGTCCCCACACCAGGCAGGACCAGTGTGGTGCACGAGGACAGTCCCCACACCAGGCAGGACCAGTGTGGTGCACCAGGACAGTCCCCACACCAGGCAGGACCAGTGTGGTGCACCAGGACAGTCCCCACACCAGGCAGGACCAGTGTGGTGCACCAGGACAGTCCCCACACCAGGCAGGACCAGTGTGGTGCACCAGGACAGTCCCCACACCAGGCAGGACCAGTGTGGTGCACCAGGACAGTCCCCACACCAGGCAGGACCAGTGTGGTGCACCAGGACAGTCCCCACACCAGGCAGGACCAGTGAGGTGCACCAGGACAGTCCCCACACCAGGCAGGACCAGTGTGGTGCACCAGGACAGTCCCCACACCAGGCAGGACCAGTGTGGTGCACCAGGACAGTCCCCACACCAGGCAGGACCAGTGTGGTGCACCAGGACAGTCCCCACACCAGGCAGGACCAGTGAGGTGCACCAGGACAGTCCCCACACCAGGCAGGACCAGTGTGGTGCACCAGGACAGTCCCCACACCAGGCAGGACCAGTGTGGTGCACCAGGACAGTCCCCACACCAGGCAGGACCAGTGAGGTGCACCAGGACAGTCCCCACACCAGGCAGGACCAGTGTGGTGCACCAGGACAGTCCCCACACCAGGCAGGACCAGTGTGGTGCACCAGGACAGTCCCCACACCAGGCAGGACCAGTGTGGTGCACCAGGACAGTCCCCACACCAGGCAGGACCAGTGTGGTGCACCAGGACAGTCCCCACACCAGGCAGGACCAGTGTGATGCACCAGGACAGTCCCCACACCAGGCAGGACCAGTGTGGTGCACCAGGACAGTCCCCACACCAGGCAGGACCAGTGTGGTGCACCAGGACAGTCCCCACACCAGGCAGGACCTGTGTGGTGCACCAGGACAGTCCCCACACCAGGCAGGACCAGTGTGGTGCACCAGGACAGTACCCACACCAGGCAGGACCAGTGTGGTGCACCAGGCAGGACCAGTGTGGTGCACCAGGACCAGTGTGGTGCACCAGGACAGTCCCCACACCAGGCAGGACCAGTGAGGTGCACCAGGACAGTCCCCACACCAGGCAGGACCAGTGTGGTGCACCAGGACAGTCCCCACACCAGGCAGGACCAGTGTGGTGCACCAGGACAGTCCCCACACCAGGCAGGACCAGTGTGGTGCACCAGGACAGTCCCCACACCAGGCAGGACCAGTGAGGTGCACCAGGACAGTCCCCACACCAGGCAGGACCAGTGTGGTGCACCAGGACAGTCCCCACACCAGGCAGGACCAGTGTGGTGCACCAGGACAGTCCCCACACCAGGCAGGACCAGTGAGGTGCACCAGGACAGTCCCCACACCAGGCAGGACCAGTGTGGTGCACCAGGACAGTCCCCACACCAGGCAGGACCAGTGTGGTGCACCAGGACAGTCCCCACACCAGGCAGGACCAGTGTGGTGCACCAGGACAGTCCCCACACCAGGCAGGACCAGTGTGGTGCACCAGGACAGTCCCCACACCAGGCAGGACCAGTGTGGTGCACCAGGACAGTCCCCACACCAGGCAGGACCAGTGTGATGCACCAGGACAGTCCCCACACCAGGCAGGACCAGTGTGGTGCACCAGGACAGTCCCCACACCAGGCAGGACCAGTGTGGTGCACCAGGACAGTCCCCACACCAGGCAGGACCTGTGTGGTGCACCAGGACAGTCCCCACACCAGGCAGGACCAGTGTGGTGCACCAGGACAGTACCCACACCAGGCAGGACCAGTGTGGTGCACCAGGCAGGACCAGTGTGGTGCACCAGGACCAGTGTGGTGCACCAGGACAGTCCCCACACCAGGCAGGACCAGTGTGGTGCACCAGGACAGTCCCCACACCAGGCAGGACCAGTGTGGTGCACCAGGACAGTCCCCACACCAGGCAGGACCAGTGTGGTGCACCAGGCAGGACCAGTGTGGTGCACCAGGACCAGTGTGGTGCACCAGGACCAGTGTGGTGCACCAGGACAGTCCCCACACCAGGCAAGACCAGTGAGGTGCACCAGGACAGTCCCCACACCAGGCAGGACCAGTGAGGTGCACCAGGACAGTCCCCACACCAGGCAGGACCAGTGAGGTGCACCAGGACAGTCCCCACACCAGGCAGGACCAGTGTGGTGCACCAGGACCAGTGTGGTGCACCAGGACAGTCCCCACACCAGGCAGGACCAGTGAGGTGCACCAGGACAGTCCCCACACCAGGCAGGACCAGTGAGGTGCACCAGGACAGTCCCCACACCAGGCAGGACCAGTGTGGTGCACCAGGACAGTCCCCACACCAGGCAGGACCAGTGTGGTGCACCAGGACAGTCCCCACACCAGGCAGGACCAGTGTGGTGCACCAGGACAGTCCCCACACCAGGCAGGACCAGTGTGGTGCACCAGGACAGTCCCCACACCAGGCAGGACCAGTGTGGTGCACTAGGACAGTCCCCACACCAGGCAGGACCAGTGTGGTGCACCAGGACAGTCCCCACACCAGGCAGGACCAGTGTGGTGCACCAGGACAGTCCCCACACCAGGCAGGACCAGTGTGGTGCACCAGGACAGTCCCCACACCAGGCAGGACCAGTGTGATGCACCAGGACAGTCCCCACACCAGGCAGGACCAGTGTGGTGCACCAGGACAGTCCCCACACCAGGCAGGACCAGTGTGGTGCACCAGGACAGTCCCCACACCAGGCAGGACCAGTGTGGTGCACTAGGACAGTCCCCACACCAGGCAGGACCAGTGTGGTGCACCAGGACAGTCCCCACACCAGGCAGGACCAGTGTGGTGTACCAGGACAGTCCCCACACCAGGCAGGACCAGTGTGGTGCACCAGGACAGTCCCCACACCAGGCAGGACCAGTGTGGTGCACCAGGACAGTCCCCACACCAGGCAGGACCAGTGTGGTGCACCAGGACAGTCCCCACACCAGGCAGGACCTGTGTGGTGCACCTATTACTATCTGCCTCGGTGGTTATAATAGGAGCTGCCTCGTATGGGCCAATAGGCCTGCTGCAGTTCTCATTACTACTATCCCCTACACCTGACTTTCCTCCTCAGCTCTCTCTTGCCTATTTAATGCCTGTCCCTACCTCCTCATCACAATCGACTTGAGAATGGTCGAGGACGGACCGAAACGTCGTCGTCCCTTCAATTTCTAGTGTGTGGTCTGGTCAACACACACACACACTGACCTCACCCCTCAGTGTGAGGGGTGAGGTCTGAGATTGGCGAGACGTCACAAGTGGAGTCCCGCAGGGGTCAGTCCTTGGACCTATACTGTTTCTGATATATGTAAATGATCTTCCAGAGGGTATAGATTCGTTTCTCTCATTGTTTGCCGATGATGCAAAAATTATGAGGAGGATTGAAACAGAGGATGATAGTAGGAGGCTACAGGACGACCTAGACTGAATGAATGGTCCAACAAATGGCTGTTGAAGTTCAACCCGAGTAAATGTAAGGTAATGAAACTAGGCAGTGGAAATAGGAGGCCAGACACAGGATACAGAATAGGAGAAGAAGTACTTAATGAAACGGACAGAGAGAAAGACCCAGGAGTTGATATCACATCAAACCTGTCTCCTGAAGCCCACATAAAAAGAATAACGTCTGCGGCATATGCGAGGCTGGCTAACATCAGAACAGCGTTCAGGAACCTGTGTAAGGAATCATTCAGAATCTTGTACACCACATATGTAAGACCAATCCTGGAGTATGCGGCCCCAGCATGGAGCCCGTACCTTGTCAAGCACAAAACGAAGCTGGAAAAAGTCCGAAGGTATGCCACTAGACTAGTCCCAGAACTAAGAGGCATGAGTTACGAGGAAAGGCTGCGGGAAATGCACCTTACGACACTGGAAGACAGAAGAGTAAGGGGAGACATGATCACAACCTACAAAATCCTCAGAGGAATCGACCGGGTAAACAAGGATAAACTATTCAACACTGGTGGGACGCGAACAAGGGGACACAGGTGGAAACTGAGTACCCACATGAGCCACAGGGACGTTAGAAGGAACTTTTTCAGTGTCAGAGTAGTTGACAAATGGAATGCATTAGGCAGTGATGTGGTGGAGGCTGACTCCATACACAGTTTCAAGTGTAGATATGATAGAGCCCAGTAGGCTCAGGAATCTGTACACCAGTTGATTGACAGTTGAGAGGCGGGACCAAAGAGCCAAACCTCAACCCCCCGCAAGCACAAATAGGCGAGTGCAAATAGGTGAGTACACACACACACACAAGCTAACAAAATGACTCCCACTTCACAGTCTCGAGCTAGCCCCGAGAGGTTGACTCCGCAGCCTGTCCTGCTAAGGTTTCCCAGCGTCTTGAAAACGGTCAGCTTAAAGTGCTCTCTCCTAACCTAACAGGGAACCCGAAACAGAAAACATGACAGTTCGTCACTTTCGCGAGACGCTTCCATTTTCTAGTTCAAATTTTTTTGACCTTATGTAATGCATACGAGCGAAAAGCGACGTTCTTTGTTGGACAGTTTGGATTCAATAGCACCTCGAGTTGAGAGCTGGAACGGCTTGCCAAGGGTAAGGCCCCCCGGTCGGAGACCAACTCACCACAGTCCAGTCAACGGCACGCAGCGAGAGAAGAGAATTCTAAAAGTTTATGACACTAAAATATAGGGGAAGCCAACTTTAAAACCGAACTGAAGTGGATATAGTGAGAGGCAAACACCCGAGGCGCCAGACGTGTGACGAACACTAAAGCATGGAACGCTGCGAGGTGCAAGTCTCCAGGAACAAGTCAACCAAAGAGGACTGTGGCGAGCTGAGTGTGAACAGGTGACAGGGGATAGGCAGGTGATGGGTACCCTCCCCCCACCCCCCCCCGGGGGACTGGTGTGACTGTGCTGCCACCTGGTGGCGGTAGCCATAGTGGCTAGCAAATAGTTAGCAAAGCGGTAATTAGTTTTCCTCGCAATTCCAGTGATTGCTTACATGGAGTGTCGAGTGATTTGATCTGTTCGTTGCCTTCAGCGAGTGGTTGGTTGAAGGTGGATTGACATTCTCACTGTCACATCGAGCAGTCTGAGAGCAGCAGTACACCGAGAACTTCAACAAGATCTTGTAGATCTGAGGCAAAGTGAAATTGACACCAGTAATTCCATCTATCATCATATTATCATGCAAGAGGAGCCACACATCTATGGATCATCCAATAAAATCAGCAGACTTCTAGATGTTACTACTGCTCGGCTTAGACTCGGTTACAAGTATCTCTGGGAATTCTCATTATCTGCTGATGTAGACCTGACCAAATGTAAACTGTGTCAACAAAATTATTTGCACACCCTCCGTCACTATGTGATGGAGTGCGAAAAGATACGTGAATTTAGAGACAATTCTATAACCAATGTTCCAGCGATGTGTCAATATTTCATTCAAAATGATCTGCTACCAGAAATTTTAGCCAAATATCCCCAGTTTGCTAACTGTAGGTAGTAACTAAGTGATTGTAACCTATCCACCGCTGCCCACTGGATGGGGGGGGGGCGGTGTGCAGGACAAACATATAACTTGTGACACTAACTCTCCACATATGTCAGTTGCTTAATTTAGAACCTGTACTTGAGGTCGATCTCGAACCCATTGTTGATGTGACGACTTATACTGAATTTGTAACTAGCTCATCAAGATTGTAACTTGCTTAGCTAAATGAATTGTGGGGTTCAGTCCCTGAGCCCATTATGTGCCTCTGTAACCCTCTCCACTACCGCCCACAACATGGGTATGAGGTGCATAATAAATGACCTAAACTAACTAACTAACATCCCCCAACGATTTGGAACGATCACTTGACCTGGGTAGACCACAAACTTTGGCTTATAAACAACCCGACAGATTGAGCTCCGGAAGTAAAATTAAAAAAATAAGATAAAAGAACTTACCAATGAAGGTGGAGCCAGAGCGCCATGTTGTGACGACCAGACTGCGAACAGGGTTCCCTCCGCGCTCCATCACCAGATCACTCACGTCCCTGCGCACACACACACACAGGTACTCTCTCATAATGCAACACTGCGCCAAGCATAACACCTGCACTACGAACACTACTGTTTTAGCGCCACTAAATGGTATGTAGAGCATTTGGACTATCATATTTGGCAGTCTACAAGCACCTAGGTTCGGCCTGGTGTGTGGGGTTGGTTGGTTGGGGGTGGGGGTTAGTGGGGTGATTTTGGGGGGGGGGGTGTGTGATTGGGTGTGTGTGTGTGTGGTGGGGGGTACTGGCCTGAGCCTGTTCGGGGTGACAGACAGACCATCGTGAACGCTGCAGCTCTGGGATTAAGGCAGCTGGAATAACAGCTGCGGAAGTGTGTCGTTGGAAGCATCATGCGCATTGAGGATGTTTTTATAATAAATTAACATTAATACACAAATATATGTGGATATATTTCAGATCTTTGCAACAAACTGGTATTGGTGGAGAACAACATTACCACATACTTGGCCTTCAGGTGAGGGTGGAAGTGGTAGCCCTCCATGTCTATGGCCAGAGCTTCTCGCTTCCTCTTCAGTATGGCCTCTATCTTCCCCTCCATTGTCTCGTGTACCTCGCTAAGTATCTCTTCTCGTAGTCCTGCCTCTTCCGCCCCCTCCTCTTCTTCCTGACCTCCACCGAGCTCTGCTTCCTCCTCAGGCTCCGTACCTGGAGCGGTGCCTGGGCCTTCACCAGGGGCTGCATCAGCTTGCATCTTGTGTGTTGGGGCCCCCGGGTGTGGAGCCGTTAGGACCCCCAGGTGTGGAGCCGCTGGGGCCCCCAGGTGTTCTGGACCAGCGTCCTCCCACGGGGCTCCTGCCTCTCCTCCACCTGCTACTCAATATACCAAATATAAATTAGAAGTCACTAAAATTAATAGTGTTGCCAAGCCTCCAAACTACAGTAGTGACGGATGACAAGAATCATTAAGGGACACACAGAGATAATATGTTAATAACATGCCAGTGTTGCCAGAACCATCCTCTCTACTAAGACGCCAGTAATTATCTCCTGCTGACCACCCAACCACTTGGGCTGGACGGTAGAGCGACTGTCACGCTTCATGCAGGTCGGCGTTCAATCCCCGACCGTCCAAGTGGTTGGGCACCATTCCTTTTCCCCCCTCCCCCGTCGCATCCCAAATCCTTATCTTGACCCTTCCAAGTGCTATATCGTCGACATGGCTTGACACTTTATCCCTGATAGTTCCCTTCCCCCCCCCTTGCCTCACTGCCCTCCCCTTCTCTCACCTTCCCTCCCTCCACCTGCCATGAACCGTCGAGTAAAGTGTCTTCAGGTAGTGAGACCGTCTTAGGCCTAAGCTTCCCCCTTTTCCCCAGTTCCCTTCTCCAGTCCCCCTCCCCAGCCCTTTTCTCCCAAACATCTTCCTCTCTTCTCCGTCTCTGTGCATGGGGTTCAACCACTGCAAACCACCTCAAGTCCATCATCACCCAGCAAAAATCTGCTATCAGAATAATAACAAATTCTGCTTTCAGACAACACTCAGCCCCCTTGTTTAACTCCCTTAACATGCTAAACATAATCTCACTCCACACATTCTCTTGTGTCAACTACATTTACAAAACCCTGTTTTTAAATGCAAATCCTGCTCTGAAACTCTCCCTGGACAGATGTAATAGGACCCATTATCACCACACCAGAAATAAATATCTTTTTGATATCCCCAGAGTTAAACTTAATCTGTGTGAACACTATGCAAATAAAGGGACCCAGTCTATGGAACTCACTCCCTATTGAATTGAAAACAACCACTCTACCACTCAACCACTCATTGTTTTGAATGACGCAAAAGCTGTCCAACTTTTGCGTCATTCAAAAACAATAGTCAGAGTTGTCAAGTCAGAGTGGGAAAATGTTGTAAGTGGGGTGCCTCAGGGCTCTGTCCTGGGACCTCTGTTGTTTATAATATATATATAAATGATTTAGATTCAGGTTTGAGTAGCAACATTTGCAAATTTGCTGATACGAAAATCGGTAGGGAAATTAATTCGGAGGAGGACTCACTATCACTTCAAGTTGATCTAGATAGGGTTTTGAAATGGTCAAAGGATTGGCAGATGCAGTTTAATGCTGATAAATGTAAAGTTCTGAGGTTAGGTAATGATGATAGAGTTACAAGATACGAGCTAGATGGTGTTGAGATTGCGAAGTCGGATTGCGAAAGGGATCTGGGAGTTATGATTAGTAAGAATTTAAAACAAAAGGATCAATGCATAAATGTTCGTAATAAGGCAAATCGGACACTTGGATTTATTAATCGCAGCGTTAGTAACAAGACACCTGGTGTGGTTCTTAAGCTATATCTTGCTCTAGTTAGGCCCCATTTAGATTATGCAGTTCAGTTTTGGTCGCCATATTATAGAATGGATATAAATTCACTTGAACGTGTCCAGCGTAGGATGACTAAGTTAATTCCCCAAATTAGAAATCTTTCATATGAAGAAAGATTAACAAAGCTTAAGTTGCATTCACTGGAAAGGCGAAGAGTTAGGGGTGACATGATAGAGTAACTTGGGTAAATACTGGTTCAGTAACAGGGTTGTTGATTTGTGGAACCAATTACCGCGTAACGTGCTGGAGGTGGTGTCCCTTGATTGTTTCAAGCGCGGGTTGGACAAGTATATGAGTGGGATTGGGTGGTTATAAATAGGAGCTGCCTCGTATGGGCCAACAGGCCTTCTGCAGTTGCCTTTGTTCTTATGTTCTTAATACTAAAAAGTACCTAATTTCATCTTAATAGTTTTTTTCCTTTTGCTTTAAAATTGCACTGTATCTATTTCTACCCAATCTCCCAATCTTTATGTACCCAATTCGAACATCTTTACCATTGTGATCATTGCTGTCTTCTTATATGTGCTGTCAATCTGCTGTATGGTGTCTATTAATCTTGTTTAAATTACCAATCAAACTATCAATGTAATCAATCAGAGCTTTAATATAACAATGTGCTTTACTATACATACTAATCTCTCTCTTCTCATTTTTTTCTTGCAATGTATCTGTTATCATTTTATTAATTCTGATAGAATTTACCTACTTAAAATTATCTGTTAGATTAAGGACCTGCCTGAAACGCTGCGCGTACTAGTGGCTTTACAAGATTGTAAATACTATGCTATGTATTCTCACAGGATTCGCTCGTTGGCCGCCAGGGGGTCAAGACGCGCTCGCTTGACCTGCCAGTTGCTACCTAGAGTTGCGAGGGGGCGGGTGCGGTTTGGCGTGTCGGCGCCATGGGGGCCCCCCCTCCCCCCTGTTGTGCGTGCCCAGTCTATAGGCCTCGAGTTTTCTGCTCGGGCGGGATATCCCGAGGTGGGTTTGGTGCTGTGTGACATGCTGCGGGTCCCTGTGGGGGATGTTTATGGTGTTGAGCTGGTGTCTGCCCGTAGAGTGGTTATCTTGAGATGATTTCGGGGCTTTTAGTGTCCCCACGGCCCGGTCCTCGATCAGGCCCCCACCCCCAGGAAGCAGCCCGTGACAGCTGACTAACACCCAGGTACCTATTTTACTGCTAGGTAACAGGGGCATAGGGTGAAAAAACTCTGCCCATTGTTTCTCGCCGGCACCTGGGATCGAACCCAGGACCACAGGATCACAAGTCCAGTGTGCTGTTCGCTCGGCCGACCAGCTCTGGTTGTTAAACTAACGACAGAGGAGGTATATAGGGCGTTTTTACGTCGGTACGAGGGGTGGACCTTGCCCCTGCCCGAAGGTGCGGGCACTATGACTGTCTCTGATCGCAGTGGTGCCATCACCTATGTAAGCGTGCATGGGGCGCCCCTGGAATTTCCGGAGGGACTGCTGAGGCGTTATTTCGGCCAGTTTGGGGCGGTCGTCAGTGTGTGGTTGCACCTGCTCTCCTCGGGTCCGCTAAAGGGTGTGCGGTCAAATATTCGCACCCTAGGAATGAGGCTGCGGGCGGACATTCCTTCTCAAGTGAGGCTTCTGGGGTGTTCTGTTCAAGTGTTTTATGCTCGCCAGCCCCGTATGTGTTACCGTTGTGGCCTCTTGGGTCATCAGGCTGCTGGGTGCTCTGAACCTGCCGTCGCGCCCGTCAACCTCTTCCGTGAGGAGGATTTCCCGCCATTCCCTGTGGAGGAGGATTCGGTGGGTGTGGACGCCGCTTTGGCTGCTGCCGTACCCCGTGTGTTGCATGAAGTGTCTCCTGCAGATGTCGCCCCTCCTCCAGAGGCCGTGTCGCCTGTTGTGGTTGCCTCTCAGGCGGTTGTGTCGCCGTCGGGTGTTCGTCCTGCCCCGGTTGCTGTCCTGGATGCTTCCGTGGTTCTTCCGCCTCCAGTCTGCGCGGCTCCCCCGTCTTCCTGTTCTCTGTCTGTGGTGCCTGTCACTGCACCCTCGCCGTGTGCCCAGGATGTGCTGGGGTCGCTGTGGGACCTCCTACTGTGCCCGACCTGTTCCCCGTGTGGTTGAGGATGCTGCCGTCCTGCGGAGGGCGTCGGTTCGCCCGGCTTGTGTTGTCTGGGTCGACATCCGGCTCTGATGATGTGAGGCCGGTGCCCAAGCGTTCCCGGAGATCTTCTGATTGGGCTGATGCGGGAGAATTTGACAATGGTGGATCTTCCAGTGACAGTGGTGAGGTTCCGTCCCATTCCTCGGTGGTGGCGGAGGTCCTTGTGTCTGCGGCTGCCTGTATCGATGTTTCTTCTGGTGAGGTGCCTGTGGAGCTTGCTTCCCGTGCGTCGCCTGCGTCGGATGGTTCCTGTGTGGGGGGGGGTGGTTCCTCCTGCTGGTGAGCATAGTGGAGGCCTGGTCGAGGACCGGGCCGCGGGGACACTAAAAAGCCCCGAAATCATCTCAAGATAACCTCAAGATAGTGGCCTGGTGGTGGTGGTCAAGAAGACTGCTCGCTCTGGGGGATCCGTGCCCTCAGTTTCGTCCCCTGGTTCATCAGCAGCGGTTTTGCCACTTCTCCCGTCTCCGACCGTCTCTACTGTGTGTCCCGAGGTGTCTGGTGTGGGGCTGCCGTCTCGGCGGCCTTCGTCGTCTTCTCCTGTGCGTCCGGCGGCGGGGCCGTCTCGGGGGGCCTGCGTCCCCTTCTTCCGTGTCTTCTGCTTCCCTTCGCTCTGCCTTACCTCGTTATGCGACAACTGTCGCCCAGCTCCGGGTGCTGCCGTTTCCGCCTGATCTGGTGGTTCCCGAGGTTATGCCCGCCCCCCTGAAGCACGGGGACTGTTGTCCTACCGACAGGGAGTACTTAGTGTGGGAAGCTTATAAGCAGAAATATCCTAGGCACGATTTTCCCGAGAAGTATTTGCCTACCACTGTCGTGTCTTCTTCCTATAAGTGATTTTTGCTGTTGTTGTTGTGTGTTTGTGCTTTGTGCTGTGTGTTGTGTGCGTGCGTGCGTGCGTGCGTGTATTGTATTTACTTTATTGGTGTTGTGTTGTACCTCTCTGTGTGGTTTTTCAGGGTCACTTGGCTTGTTTTGTGTTGTTTCACGGGTTGGGTTGTTGGGTGAGGGTTGTTGGGTGAGGGTTGTTGGGTGAGGGTGTTGGGTGAGGGTTGTTGGGTGAGGTTGTTGGGTGAGGTTGTTGGGTGAGGGTTGTTGGGTGAGGGTTGTTGGGTGAGGGTTGTTGGGTGAGGGTTGTTGGGTGAGGGTTGTTGGGTGAGGGTTGTTGGGTGAGGGTTGTTGGGTGAGGGTTGTTGGGTGAGGGTGTTGGGTGAGGGTTGTTGGGTGAGGGTTGTTGGGTGAGGGTGTTGGGTGAGGGTTGTTGGGTGAGGGTTGTTGGGTGAGGGTTGTTGGGTGAGGGTTGTTGGGTGAGGGTTGTTGGGTGAGGGTTGTTGGGTGAGGGTTGTTGGGTGAGGGTTGTTGGGTGAGGGTTGTTGGGTGAGGGTTGTTGGGTGAGGGTGTTGGGTGAGGGTTGTTGGGTGAGGGTTGTTGGGTGAGGGTTGTTGGGTGAGGGTTGTTGGGTGAGGGTTGTTGGGTGAGGGTTGTTGGGTGAGGGTTGTTGGGTGAGGGTTGTTGGGTGAGGGTTGTTGGGTGAGGGTTGTTGGGTGAGGGTTGTTGGGTGAGGGTTGTTGGGTGAGGGTTGTTGGGTGAGGGTTGTTGGGTGAGGGTTGTTGGGTGAGGGTTGTTGGGTGAGGGTTGTTGGGTGAGGGTTGTTGGGTGAGGGTTGTTGGGTGAGGGTTGTTGGGTGAGGGTTGTTGGGTGAGGGTTGTTGGGTGAGGGTTGTTGGGTGAGGGTTGTTGGGTGAGGGTTGTGGGTGAGGGTTGTTGGGTGAGGGTTGTTGGGTGAGGGTTGTTGGGTGAGGGTTGTTGGGTGAGGGTTGTTGGGTGAGGGTTGTTGGGTGAGGGTTGTTGGGTGAGGGTTGTTGGGTGAGGGTGTTGGGTGAGGGTTGTTGGGTGAGGGTTGTTGGGTGAGGGTTGTTGGGTGAGGGTTGTTGGGTGAGGGTTGTTGGGTGAGGGTTGTTGGGTGAGGGTTGTTGGGTGAGGGTGTTGGGTGAGGGTTGTTGGGTGAGGGTTGTTGGGTGAGGGTTGTTGGGTGAGGGTTGTTGGGTGAGGGTTGTTGGGTGAGGTTGTTGGGTGAGGTTGTTGGGTGAGGTTGTTGGGTGAGGGTTGTTGGGTGAGGTTGTTGGGTGAGGTTGTTGGGTGAGGTTGTTGGGTGAGGTTGTTGGGTGGGTTGTTGGGTGAGGTTGTTGGGTGAGGTTGTTGGGTGAGGTTGTTGGGTGAGGGTTGTTGGGTGAGGTTGTTGGGTGAGGTTGTTGGGTGAGGTTGTTGGGTGAGGTTGTTGGGTGAGGTTGTTGGGTGAGGGTTGTTGGGTGAGGTTGTTGGGTGAGGTTGTTGGGTGAGGGTTGTTGGGTGAGGTTGTTGGGTGAGGTTGTTGGGTGAGGTTGTTGGGTGAGGTTGTTGGGTGAGGTTGTTGGGTGAGGTTGTTGGGTGAGGTTGTTGGGTGAGGTTGTTGGGTGAGGTTGTTGGGTGAGGGTTGTTGGGTGAGGTTGTTGGGTGAGGTTGTTGGGTGAGGTTGTTGGGTGAGGTTGTTGGGTGAGGTTGTTGGGTGAGGTTGTTGGGTGAGGTTGTTGGGTGAGGGTTGTTGGGTGAGGGTTGTTGGGTGAGGTTGTTGGGTGAGGTTGTTGGGTGAGGGTTGTTGGGTGAGGTTGTTGGGTGAGGTTGTTGGGTGAGGTTGTTGGGTGAGGTTGTTGGGTGAGGTTGTTGGGTGAGGGTTGTTGGGTGAGGTTGTTGGGTGAGGTTGTTGGGTGAGGTTGTTGGGTGAGGTTGTTGGGTGAGGTTGTTGGGTGAGGGTTGTTGGGTGAGGTTGTTGGGTGAGGGTTGTTGGGTGAGGTTGTTGGGTGAGGGTGTTTTGTCCTTGTACTGCTGTGTTTATTGTTTTGTTGTCTGCCCTTTAGGCCGCTGTTTGGTGTATTTGTCTTTCTTTGTTTTGTGCCTTTGTGTTTGTGTTCTGTTCTGTTATCTTTTATTGTATTCTAGGAACGACGGCGAGTGTGTGTGTCTGTCTGGGCATTTCTAATTAGTAGTAATATGCGAGTGGATGGGGATTCTATGGGTGGAGCAGGGAGGGGGGGGGGGGTGAGTTTATGGGTAGAGCAGGGGGAGAATTGTATGCGTGAGCAGGGGGGGGGATTCTATGGATGAAGCAGGGGTAGGTGGGGATTTCATAGGTCGATCAGGGGGTGAGGGGGGGACAAATAGTTACAACCAGAGAGGAGTTTCAAGCAAGAGTAATGTTACAAGTGAGGTCCCACAAGGCTCGGTCCTGGGACCACTGCTGTTTCTACTTTATGTGAACAACCAGCCTCAGACATGTCAATGTTTGCGAAGAAAAGCTAATGAGGAACGTAAAAACCGACGATGACTATAGAAAGTTAAAAGGAGGACCTTGACAAACTCCAGGAGTGGTCAGGCAAAGGATTTCTGGAATTCAATGGCAACAAGCTACGCCATACGGGGAAGGCAGCTACACCATACAGGGAAGGCAGCTACGCCATACGGGGAAGGCAGCTACGCCATACAGGGAAGGCAGCTACAACATACTGGGAAGGCAGCTACACCATACGGGGAAGGCAGCTACACCATACAGGGAAGGCAGCTACACCATACAGGGAAGGCAGCTACACCATACAGGGAAGGCAGCTACGCCATACGGGGAAGGCAGCTACGCCATACAGGGAAGGCAGCTACGCCATACGGGGAAGGCAGCTACGCCATACGGGGAAGGCAGCTACGCCATACAGGGAAGGCAGCTACACCATACAGGGAAGGCAGCTACGCCATACGGGGAAGGCAGCTACGCCATACAGGGAAGGCAGCTACACCATACTGGGAAGGCAGCTACACCATACAGGGAAGGCAGCTACACCTTACAGGGAAGGCAGCTACACCATACGGGGAAGGCAGCTACGCCATACAGGGAAGGCAGCTACGCCATACAGGGAAGGCAGCTACGCCATACAGGGAAGGCAGCTACACCATACTGGGAAGGCAGCTACGCCATACTGGGAAGGCAGCTACGCCATACAGGGAAGGCAGCTACACCATACAGGGAAGGCAGCTACACCATACAGGGAAGGCAGCTACACCATACTGGGAAGGCAGCTACGCCATACAGGGAAGGCAGCTACACCATACAGGGAAGGCAGCTACACCATACTGGGAAGGCAGCTACGCCATACGGGGAAGGCAGCTACGCCATACGGGGAAGGCAGCTACGCCATACAGGGAAGGCAGCTACACCATACTGGGAAGGCAGCTACGCCATACAGGGAAGGCAGCTACACCATACAGGGAAGGCAGCTACACCATACTGGGAAGGCAGCTACGCCATACAGGGAAGGCAGCTACACCATACAGGGAAGGCAGCTACACCATACTGGGAAGGCAGGCACAAGAATCAGAGACATGGGTGTAAATATAATTCCAACTCTCACACCGGAGGCACACACGAACAGGATAACATCGGCAGCATATGGGACGCTACCAAATATAAGAATGTAGCAAGTAAACTTATACTCGCTCCATTACCTCATTATCTTAATGGCATAACTAATTACACAAGCTATAATACTATCCCAATTTACAAGTAACGGTTTTCCCACCCTCCTATCTTACTGCGAGGTGTAGTAACCGTATATAAGCCAGCGATTTGAGAATAGCAAACACCATTTGGTCGCCACTTGGTCAGGGAGACATCTCCCGTCACGCAGGGTGCAGTTGCGCCTCCACAGATCTCCAGTATCATCTTTTGATACTGGTAATGGCTCGAAAGGGCCACCACTTACGGGCTATTCATGCCCGTGCCACCTCTTGGGTGGCTTAATCTTCATCAACCAATCAATCGAATAGCAAACCAGTACAATCTCCAGTCAAGAATGTAGTACTCGGCGTAGGCAGTTCTAATCTACGCCAAGACGCTACAGCTTCGACACAGAGCAGACAGCAGACTACGACCTCATCCAGGTACAACACTCTCCCACATAGAGCTCCACGACTCCGGCCTCAACTCAGCTCTCTGCTCTGCTCCAGGCTCCGTCTCAACGTCTACGACACTTTTTTTTTTTTTTTTTTTTTTTTTTTTTTTTTTTTTTGAGATATATACAAGAGTTGTTACATTCTTGTAGAGCCACTAGTACGCGTAACGTTTCGGGCAAGTCCTTAATCCTATGGTCCCTGGAATACGATCCCCTGCCGCGAAGAATCGTTTTTTCATCCAAGTACACATTTTACTGTTGCGTTAAACAGAGGCTACAGTTAAGGAATTGCGCCCATTAAATCCTCCCCGGCCAGGATACGAACCCATGACATAGCGCTCGCGGAACGCCAGGCGAGTGTCTTACCACTACACCACGGAGACTGTTGTATCCAGGACTACTAAATAAATAGGAAACTCACTAAACACTGTGTATCTAATCTACCCAACAACGTAACATAACCGTCCGTTACAAGAACATCGTTTAGAAACCTGAATCGGGATTCTTTTAAAGCATTCATTCTACCGGGACAAAACCACTCCTGGCGGTCTCATATATAACTACTAACATTCTACCGGGACAAAACCACTCCTGGCGGTCTCATATATAACTACTAACATTCTACCGGGACAAAACCACTCCTGGCGGTCTCATATATAACTACTAACATTCTACCGGGACAAAACCACTCCTGGCGGTCTCATATATAACTACTAACATTCTACCGGGACAAAACCACTCCTGGTGGTCTCGTATATAACTACTAACATTCTACCCGGACAAAACCACTCCTGGCGGTCTCATATATAACTACTAACATTCTACCGGGACAAAACCACTCCTGGCGGTCTCATATATAACTACTAACATTCTACCGGGACAAAACCACTCCTGGCGGTCTCATATATAACTACCAACTATCAGATGGTGAATAATATTAGAGGGTCAGTGTTGTTGTGGTACGTGAGGCCAAGACGACCTACCTTGAGTACTGGAGGTGTCGACCCCGCCTCTCCCAGCTGTGTCCTGGGAGGTGACGACCCTGCCTCTCCCAGCTGTGTCCTGGGAGGTGACGACCCTGCCTCTCCCAGCTGTGTCCTGGGAGGTGACGACCCTGCCTCTCCCAGCTGTGTCCTGGGAGGTGTCCAGGTCCTGCAGGACAACAAGGGACGGAGAGCAGCAGTTCTGTAAGTTAATTATTTGTAAATTAATTTCCTAAATCATCTGGCATTTTCACCTAGGAATAACTGGATAGTTTTATCAACAAAGTGTCTGGTGGGGTAATATGTAAACAAAGGTGACCGGTGCATGTGAGAGATGTTAGAGTCTGGCGACGTTGTCACCAGAGAAGTTGGACCGTCCCTCCCTCCCGACACAACGGTGACCACAGTCACCCTCCCTCCCAACACAACGGTGACCACAGTCACCCTCCCTCCCAACACAACGGTGACCACAGTCACCCTCCCTCCCAACACAACGGTGACCACAGTCACCCTCCCTCCCAACACAACGGTGACCACAGTCACCCTCCCAACACAACGGTGACCACAGTCACCCTCCCAACACAACGGTGACCACAGTCACCCTCCCAACACAACGGTGACCACACTTCCCTCTCCATAAAAATTTATGTTTTTTCTCTCTTCTCTTTGTCTCATTAGGCTGTTTTGCTGAATGTGGACCAGTTGTGGACCTTATGTATATATATATGCAATAAAGTCACTGAAATATGTATATTATTTCCCTTAACACACTCACACGTTCCTGCAATTCCTGATCAAATATAGCGAGACATCTGACCACAGGTAAATATGCAATACAACTGCTGATAAAGACATTAGATATCAAATCATACCTACGTGATGCTGTAATTATATAACATAATATTATTTGTCAGTGTATATACAGAATGTGATTGTTATTATTTTTTTACTGTTTCAAAACCTATTGAGCTACAGCTTACAAGTTTTCAAGTACGAATGTCAAGCAATATTTGCTAAGACTTACATGATATGTCATCAATTCGAACTACCATATTTATTGTCGAGAACCTTAACATCATTTTTCTGCATGAATAGGATTTACAACTTTGAAACAGCTTCAGAAATTCAATTTTTGACCGATTCTCACCATCTTTACATCTGTACAAAGTTCTTAGTTCTAAGGTTGCCTGCACATCCATAATCATAAACACATCACTTCTGAAGTTGTTTCTTTTTCTTTTTGCATCTAAATGTTGCCTAAATTTGGAAGGCGACACTTGACCTGTTGTTACAGTAATCTATACTCTCAAACAATATTTTACCTCGAGGAAAATGATCCTTATATGCTATTCTGAGACCATAATGAATGCAAGGAAAATTGGTGACATTTTAAAAATTTAAATTAATTTGAAATTTGAATATTAATTTTTTTCTGTTTATGTTATGTTGTTGATCCAGTAGGAAAAATTTGAGCATTTACTATGTAGATTATTAAGAAAAAAAATTGACAGTGTTTGAGTAAAGATGAGAAAATGGTCCTTGACCCCTTAAGCATAAAAGAAATTAGGTCGTCATGAAATTTATTAGAAAATGCGAAGTTGCCACGTCACCCACTTTCTATAAAACTTTCATTAACTAATCCTTAAAATAAGAGTCCGGAGAACAAAATAAAAAGGTATTGTCTATGACTGGATGTAATTAAATCACAAATAAAGCCAAGGTCTCCCTCCCATTGTGGATAAGAGGCATGACCGGAGAAGGAGACGCCATTAATCATGAAACTCTCGCCTGCCAGCATAAGCAACCCGTCCTCGACTCAAGTCCATTCCATCCAGCGGTCGACCCTACAGACACATTCATAAATTTTAACATGCTGTTCATTCAAAACGGGAATTTTCGCAAGTATAAATTAATATTATAATATATTAGCATATTGTGCATATATAGGCATAGGTTAGGTTAGGTGTTTAGGTTCTGTTGGCGATTATTTGTATTTGTAGTACGTGGGTGAAGCATTTACAGCGTTGTGATTCGAACAAAATTTGTCAGTGAAGCACTTGTTCCGGATATGTTCGAACGTCAGCAGTTGTGAGTCGTGTGTAAACCGCTTTTCATTCATAAACAGGGGGTTTGGCGGGTGCATGGAATCACTTTTGGATCTTTGTTTGGAGGACGGGCTGGCATAAGAGAGACAAAACTGTCTCACTAGTGATACTGTTGTGGGCCACCAACTCTCCTAGCATCACCACACCTTCACTAGCCAATACGGAAGTGTTCTATATAAGTTTGACTATTATATTTGACATTTATGACCGTATTTAGTAAATTATGTGAACGTCTGCCAACTCACCAGGAACGGGTAGGCTTAAAGGAACTAAAGGAATTCTCCATAATATTATGCCTCTGATACAGCTGTCATATATTGGTTGTGGTTTATTACTATATGACTATATAAATACACAGAAGGCTATATAGCCTCACCCACTAGGATGCCCAGGCTGTGTGGTCGTCCGTGTTGGGTCGACCAAGCTGTTGCTGCTGCCCTCGGTACAGCTGACCTCTTACTCATTCACTTATTACTAACCAGTTTGTAGACACATTTATTAGCAAATTTCTACCAATCTTTTAATTTGATTTGGTAGGTTATGTGATTAACCTCCCCCCCCCCTCCCCCCCCCCCCCCAGTTGTGATGGGGGCTCCTAGCAGGACGGTTATGAATACACACTTCGCTTTAATTAGAAATTAACCATTAATAAAATACAAATAATTTAATAAAAAATAATTATTAAATAAACAAATTCTTGCTGGGAGATTTTCCTCACACTATGTACATTAACTTACTGAGTCCAGGGACAGGAAGCCGGAGTGTATTCATAGTGTATTAATAGGCTTATATCATTACTAGCTCAAGTAACGGAACAACATCCAGGGTTCAATTAAACCGTCTAGATTTACATGTTATCTAAACACTATTTTGTGACACCCAGACATACCTAAAATCATTAAGATCTAGAGAGCAAAAAGGCGCCAAAGTTGGGAGAACTGACCTGGTGGAGGCGGGCGGGCGGGGCGGCGGCCAGCACCACCCTGGCCCCTGGGGGACTGGGCCTGAGGGGCGGCGCCAGGGTGGTGCTCCGGCTGAGCATCATCAAGCACACCATCCCTGACACTCCCACCATCACCGTCAGCCACGCTGGTCGTCTGTAGGGCACGACACGACGGATTGTTAATTTACTTTAGTTACACAGTAAAGGAATTACAGAAAATGGGATATCTGTGACGTCATCAATGCACCACACACATTTAAGCACATCACGTATCCTTTAAACAAAAGTTTAAGCATTAGAACTTATGATCCCTCCACAGTCCAGACATTAACGACGGTCTAGTACAGAGCATTCAGATGTTTGTTGACCCTTTAGGTCGGCCCCCTGCACCATCCAATAGTCGCAACGATATGAAAGGTAATAAACGCCATGCCTATTACAATGACCCCAAACTGCGTACTTTGAAACGCACTGCCAGACGAGTTGGGCTTGCATATAGGGAAACACGTACGCCAGCAATGCTCAAGCTCTTTCAGAAAGCCCTAGCCAAGGCGAGGGAGCGCATGACAGAGCTCAGGCAAGATAACTGGGAAACTTTTGTTAACAGTCTCAACTCTCACACCCCCCTCAGCCAGGCATGGAAGGATATTAAAAGAATTAAAGGCGATAAGCTCGGCCAAGTAGCACACCCTCACCCTCTACACAGAGCAAACGAGTTAGTCGATGCTTGGGCAACCACCTCTAGCTTCAATAATCTTCCCCCAGACATACAGTTCAGATTAAATGCTGGTTACGGAGATCGAGAAAGGCTCGTTGACTTCATGCTCCACAAGGAAGATGAATGCAACGTGCCATTTACTGAGTTTGAATTACTCGCGGCCCTAAACAAAGGCAAAGCCACATCCCCCGGTGAAGATGGTATCACTTATGACATATTGCGTCTGCTCCCTTTAGTACCAGGGAATCCCCTACTTGAGCTGTATAATATGAGCTATGTTACTGGGGAGCTTCCTAACTCTTGGACCAACAGTATAATCATTCCAATTCCCAAGCCAAATCAAGAGAATGCTTTCCGCCCAATTTCCCTTACTAGCTGCATTTGCAAAACATTCGAGAGAATGGTCCTAAACCGTCTCCTCCATCGAATAAGAACCATGCTATCCCCCCAGATATATGGCTTCATGCATGGAAGGAGTGTGCATCATTGCATCACCACCTTTCTTACCCTGCACACTGAAAAGTCATATACCACCTTCCTAGATCTTAAGTCTGCCTTTGATATTGCAAATAGACATGTTATCTTGAGTGAGCTTGCAAGAATGAATATTGGTGGTCGGCTTCTTTGTTGGATCAGGGGTTACTTATCCAACAGGAAGTCATCTGTATTTTTCCAGGGGCATAGAAGTGTAACAAGAGACTTTGAACTAGGCACCCCGCAGGGTGGTGTCCTCAGTCCTACCTTATTCAATATCTTAATAAACACGCTGTTAAACTCTGTACCGAGCAAACCCAACGTCCACATCATTAGCTATGCTGATGATATAATGATACACACCGCTGGTTATGCTAACACGCAGAACACTCTTAACTCTGTATTAGACTCATGTCAGGACCTAGGTTTAATTATCTCAGCAGAGAAAACAAAGATATTAAATCGGCGCCCACCCAGGCAGGGAGGAGCTGTTCGCAAGATGCAACTGTCTGATGGCTCCCAGCTTGACTATGTAAACAGATTCAAATACCTTGGCCTTGAGGTGCCACTGTACGGTCCTGTTGTATTCAGACTCTGTCGTCAGTTTAAAGAGAGGCTCCGAGCTCTCAAGGCTGTTGCAGGTTATCACTCAAGCTATGGTGCCAATGTCAGAATTGTCAAAATGATGTACTTTGCATACATCAGATCTTTAGTAGATTATGCTGCAGCTCTGCTTGCTTTGATGCCCGAAGGAAAGCTTGGAGGGATTGAAAGATTGCAGAACAAAGCCTTGAAGATAATCCTAGGGTGGCCTCGTACCACAAAGATACTTAACATGAGAAAGGAACTTAATATTCCGAGCGTTGTTGATCGTATTACTGAAATTAACTGTCAAATTGGTATAAAAATGTTTAGGCTAACTCATAACTCTTGCACAGAATCTCTCCAGAATGTCTTTATTGAAGGTCAATATTGTTCCAAATGGACAACTAAAACTGGAACCCAACTCAGAATGTATCAGGTTCATGATTTGTACCAAGAGAAACAACAGCGGCACTTTCCTGCACCGTGGGAGGTTACACCCTTTCCAGTTTTAATCCCTCCCTTTCCACCCAAGAAGCAAATTAGAGATCAGCCCAAGCTTCGTCTTGAGGCAAAGCTCAACGCCTTAAGCCATATTGATGCTCTGTCCACAGAGCATTCTCTCTCTCAAATTATATACACTGATGGTTCCCTACACCGCACCACGGGTGCAGCTGGAAGTGCAGTTGTCCTGACAATGGGCGATGGCCTATACTTTGAGTGGGGAGTCCGTATAAACAACTGGGCCTCTACCCTTCAGACTGAACTATTTGCCTTGATCCTTGCACTGAAATGTGTACAAGTCTCAAAACTTGATACATTAATTGTAAGTGACTCCTTATCATCCTTAAATGCTCTCAACTCTTTAAGACATAACTGTAACATGCTCGTGTCCGAAGCTAGACACAAATACAACAAAATTACTAAGGATGGTAACAGAGTCCATTTCATGTGGTCTCCATCTCATGTTGGCCTCCGAATGCATGATAGAGCTGATAAGTTAGCCAAAGAATCTGCCTTTAAAGGAGCCGTTGAGTGTAACCTTGGATTGTCAATGAGCAATCTGAGAGCAGCTGTACACCGAGAACTTCAACAAGATCTTGTAGATCTGAGGCAAAGTGAAATTGACACCAGTAATTCCATCTATCATCATACTATCATGCAAGAGGAGCCACACATCTATGGATCATCCAATAAAATCAGCAGACTTCTAGATGTTACTACTGCTCGGCTTAGACTCGGTTACAAGTATCTCTGGGAATTCTCATTATCTGCTGATGTAGACCTGACCAAATGTAAACTGTGTCAACAAAATTATTCGCACACCCTCCGTCACTATGTGATGGAGTGCGAAAAGATACGTGAATTTAGAGACAATTCTATAACCAATGTTCCAGCGATGTGTCAATATTTCATTCAAAATGATCTGCTACCAGAAATTTTAGCCAAATATCCCCAGTTTGCTAACTGTAGGTAGTAACTGAGTGATTGTAACCTATCCACCGCTGCCCACTGGATGGGGGGCGGTGTGCAGGACAAACATATAAATTTTGACACTAGCTCTCCACATATGTCAGTTGCTTAATTTAGAACCTGTACTTGAGGTCGATCTCGAACCCATTGTTGATGTGATGACTTATATTGAATTTTGTAACTAGCTCATCAAGATTGTAACTTGCTTAGCTAAATGAATTGTGGGGTTCAGTCCCTGAGCCCATTATGTGCCTCTGTAACCCTTTCCACTACCGCCCACAAGATGGGTATGGGGTGCATAATAATAAATGAACTAACTTGTAACTAACTTGTAGAATTGATAGAAAAGTGTTTTCTATGCTTAAACTTAATGAAACAAACCATAAACTTAAAGGCTCTCTTCTATTGTCCATATTCAAAGCGGAACTGTATTTTCGGAAAATCCTGAGCGGGAGGGAGGAGAGCTCCGTTATTATAAACAAAACAGAAGGCTTCTCCAGCTGTATCTGGGTACAATTCCCCGGAATTCCCATGGTATGGGAATTAATCTTTATTAAGTATGATTCATCATCTATTCGAAACAATATAAATACGTTGATTAGCGAGGATAATATGAGCACTGAGGGCGGATATAGAAACGTATACAGCAGAGTTGCATTATTATTTGGGAGCGCACTTGGGAAAGTGTACAACCCGTTCTCGCACTTTCTTACAGTCAATATTGACTTATTAAATACGTGCATATGTGACATACTAAACATACTAGTTTACCTTGAAAAGCTTCATAGAAAACACCGACCTTACCTAACCTTCTTAGTATGTTAAGATAAGCATCTTATTGCTTCGTAATTACAATTATTACTTAACCTATACCTATAATAGGTTAAGTAATAATTGTAATTAAGAAGCAATAAGATGCTTATCTTAACATACTAAGAAGGTTAGGTAAGGTCGGTGTTTTCTATGAAGCTTTTCAAGGTAAACTAGTATGTTTAGTATGTCACATATGCACGTATTTAATAAGTCAATATTGACTAAGAAAGTGCGAGAACGGGTTGAAGTGTAAGGCATAGTTCCCAATAGCGACTGACATATCTGTAAACACATCGAGTGTGGTTAATACCGCTCTCTTCCCTCCAATGTCTAGAAGAGGGTAGATATTCTCTGCATATATTGTGACAAGATTACACCTATCAGTTATGGAAACCAATCCGTAAATATTTTGGATGTAATCTCTCTAAATGGAAGTGATAAAAGCAACAGCGGTCTTTCATGTGCATCCTGTAGCAGGAGGTATATAATACCTCACACGTAATGAGTGCTCCTCATAGGGGGGTTGAAGTAGCCTATGCTACTCTATCCCTTTGAGATGTATTTATTGCTTATCTCAATAAACATACTTGAACTTGAAGTGCTCCTCATTCCTCCGCAACAAGCTGTGCAATGCGTGTCAACTTCATTCCTCCCTGGGTTGAGGAATTATTGTTACTGGTATGCCCTCCTAGCGGAGGTGGAGGAGTTGGTGATATACGGATTTTCAATAGTGGAAGACGATATACCCCGCTGTGGCGGAATACTAAGTGTTTTAAGCGAGATAGCACGACGCCCCGCTCCCTTCATAATGAGAACATTGGCCCCTGCACGCTCTGCTTGGGTCAGAACGTCCTACACGATATAAATAATGACAGCCAAACTTTCAAACAATCATTTAAGAAGCGAGGGGTAGAATCATTGAAAGGAGTGGGCAGACAAATTATGGGAGGAAGAGTGCAGAAAAACAAACAAAAAATTAGTAAATATCCAACGATTTACTAAAAGGAAATATATTGACATGTCAAATTCTTCTCAGTCATCTAGTAAGGTTTAAAGGGAGAAGTTGTCTGAGTATAATGCTCTAGGGGCTACAG